TGAAACTCACCTTTCATCTAATAAAATATATTACCGTAGTACATATTATTATTATTATTATTATGACGAGTATTATTATTGTTGTTGTGAAAACCTGAGCTACTAGAGAAAAAAAGAGGGCAGATTTAGAATTAGAAAAAAAATCTTATCTTCAAAAGTTCACTTTTATCTCTGGTTAAAAAAAAAAAAAAACATTGAAAAAATGTGTTGACCAGTGTAATTCGCCAGCAGAACACAAATGCAATGAGCACACTTAAGCGGGAGCTGATGTGGGTCACAGCTCTCACCCAGAAACTCACACAGACTCACTGGCATTGCACACCACCCTACCAGGCACACCACCCCACATTAAGGAACATGCGTGTAACAGCCATGACAATATATGTACAGAATTTTTGATACATGTTGCTCTATATGCTGACACTTTAGAAGATAATGACAGCCGCACTGAATTGATTTTGCCAATACCTGATTGGAAATGAATTTTTTTAAATTAGAAATCAAACAACCTTTTTGAAAATTCATAAATAAAATAAATATGTCATTTTAATTTTATTTTTTATAATGACAGTCGTTCTTTCTTCATTTCACTTAAAATAAATAGGTTACTTCCCCTCCGTGAGTCGTCACCTTACCGTGGTGGAGGGGTTTGTGTGTCCCAATGATCCAAGGAGCTATGTTGTCTGGGGCTTTATGCCTCTGGCAGGGTCACCCATGGCAAACAGGTCCTGGGTGAGGGACCAGACAAAGCACGGCTCAAAGACCCCTCATGACGAATAAAATTAATGGATCTCAGTTTCCCTTGCCCGGACGCGGGTCATCGGGGCCCCCCTCTGGAGCCAGACCTGGAGGTGGGGCTCGTTTGCGAGCGCGTGGTGGCCGTGCCTACACCCATGGGGCCCGGCTGGGCTCGGCCCGAGGAGGCAACGTGGGTCCCCCTTCTCATGGGCTCACCACCCATGGGAGGGGCCAAAGGGGTCGGGTGCAGTGTGAGCTGGGCGGCAGCCAAAGGCGGGGACCATGTCGGTCCGATCCACGGCTACAGAAGCTTGCTCTAGGGACGTGAAATGTCTCTTCTCTTGCAGGGAAGGAGCCCGAGCAGGTGTGCGAGGTCGAGAAGTTACGACTGGATATAGTCGGACTTGCCTCCACACACAGCCTGGGTTCTGGTACCAGTTCTCTCAAGTGGGGTTGGACTCTCTTCCACTCTGGAGTTGCCCATGGTGAGAGGCGTAGAGAAGGTGTGGGAATACAGTACTCATTGCCCGCCGGCTCAGTGCCTGTTCATTGGGGTTCACAACGGTAGACGAGAGGGTTGCCTCCCTTTGCCTTCCGGTGGGGGGGACGGGTCCTGACTGTTGTTTGTGCATATCCACCTAACAGCAGCTCAGCGTACCCACCCTTTTTGGAGTCCTTGGAGGGTGTGCTGGAGTGTACTCCTGCTGGGGACTCCCTTGTTCTGCTGGGGGACTTCAACACTCACGTGGTCAGTGACACTGAGACCTGGAAGGGCGTGCTTGGGAGGAACGGCCCCCCCGATCAGAACTCGAGTGGTGTTTTGTTATTGGACTTCTGTGCTTGTCACGGATTGTCCATAACGAACACCTTGTTCAAACATAAGGGTGTCCATATGTGCACTTGGCACCAGGACACCCTTGGCCGCAGTTCGATGATTGACTTTGTGGTTGGATCATCGGATTTGCGGCCGCATGTTTTGGACGCTCGGGTAAAGAGAGGGACGGCGCTGTCAACTGATCACCACCTGGTGGTGAGCAAGCTCCGATGGTGGGGAAGATGCCGGTCCGACCTGGCAGACCCAAACGTATTGTGAGGGTTTGTTGGGAGCGTCTGGCGGAATCCCCTGTCAGAAGGAGTTTCAACTCCCACCTCTGGCAGAGCTTTTCTCATGTCCCAGGGGTGGCGGGGGACATTGAGTGCGAGTGGACCATGTTCCGTGCCTCTATTGTTGAGGCGGCTAATCTGAGTTGTGGCTGTAAGCTGGTTGGTGTCTGTCGTGGCGGCAACCCCCGTATCTGCTGGTGGACACCAGCAGTAAGGGATGCCGTCTAGCTGAAGAAGGAGTCCTATCGGGCCCCCAGAGGCAGCTGATGGTTATCGCCTGGCTACGCGGAACGCAGCTTCGGTGGTCGCCGAGGCAAAAACTCGGGCGTGGGAAGAATTCGGTGAGGCCATGGAAGCCGACTTCCGGACGGCTTCGAGGAAATTCTGGTCCACCATCCGGCGTCTCAGGAGGGGAAAGCAGTGCACCAATAACACTGTGTACAGTGGGGATGGGGCGCTGCTGACCTAGTCTCGGGACGTTGTGAGTTGGTGGGCAGAGTACTTCGAAGACCTCCTCAACTCCACCAACACGCCTTCCTTGGAGGAACCAGAGTCTGAGGACTCTGAGGTGGGCTCTCCTGTCTCTGTGGTTGAAGTCACCGATGTGGTTAAAAAGCTCCTCTCCTGGGAACGCCTCAGGATCCGCCGGGAAGAGCTGAAAGAAGTGGCTGGGGAGAGGGAATTCTGGGTTTCTCTTCTAAAGCTGCTGCCCCCGCGACCCGACCCCGGATAAGCGGCGGAAAATGGAGAGATAAATAGGTTACTTATTTGCTCATAAGTGTGAGTGTGAATGCTTGTATCTCCACATGTGCCCTGTAATTGGCCTGTGACCACTCCATGGTGTACCCCGCTTCTCGCCCACTCCACTGAGATAGGCTCTAAGCGCACCGAGACTAATGAGGACAAGCGCGATAGAAAATGAATGGATATACATGTATCTCATTTACTATCTCAAGACTATATTGTAAGCTTACTGGTGTTCTATTCATATCACTTGTTTGTTCCATAAGGCTCTGCCACAGAAAAAGCTATGTTGAATATAATTAGACTGAAGGAGAGTGAAAACAAGAGCTTGTCTGCACACTGTGCTGCGAGAATGAAAGCAGTGTGGATGTGAGAGAAGCGTCATGCTGACTGAACATGATGCTCCAGCGGGTCTCCGGGGCCATCTGTTGACTGTGTCACACCGCAGGAGATTACAATTATCCAGGAGAGAAGGAAGCATGTATTGTGAACAGACTCACCCTCAGATCTCCTTTTTACTCTCTTGCATTAGATGTGCCTTGAGAGAGAGTACGTGGTGGGTGAGGGAGGTGGCAGAGGTCGTCTGCAACCTCATTTCTAATGTTGCTTTTAAATATGTTCCCTCTCTTGGACGTTAATCACTGCAATCTGTTTGCAGAGTGTTGCAGGGATTGGCTGGGAGCAATTCAGAGCGTTGATCCAAAGCCATGACTGTTGAAAGAGCAAAACTTAAGAATCATGACTCTTCCAGCTAAAGTTGCTGTAAACAAGCAAGGGATTGTCCCTCAACAGTGTTTGCCAACCACTGTGCTTGGATATTAACCAATTTTACTTAATTGGGCCGAAAAGAATTTTGTTCATACATCTATGCCAGTAGAGTGAGTGACAGGCCGAACACTAAAATGTTCTTCCACTATATGGCAGAAGACAGATAATTAGCCTGTGTGTGTCCACTTTTTTTTTAAGATTTCTATTTAATGGTGTGCCGCAAGATTTTTTTTCAAATGTAAAACATTTGCCTTCACTCACAGATACAGTCAATACAAATATATTCATACTAAATCACTCGCGTGCCAGTTACTGAATTCTTAATTAGAACTACATTTAATTTAGGGCTGCATAACGTCCATCCATCCATTCATTTTCGAATCCGCTGATCCTCATGAGGTTCGCAGGCGTGTTGGAGCCTATCCCAGCTGTCTTCCGGCAGTAGGCGCCCGTTGCAATACACTGTAGCTTCAGCACCGTCTGCTGGTGAGAAGTCATCACAGCGTTCTTGAGAAATTACAAGTACAGAGCTATTCTGGTTATAGCTGAAGTTATTACTATATTGCATTTAATACTCCATATTGCTAATAAGCTGGGTCATGACATACACTGAAATTTCATTCGCAGTGTAAAATCCAATATTTTCATGAGGTTTTTTTCCGGCAAAAACAGTTTGAACGAGATGGCTTTACTGCAGGATCCATCTCGAGTCATGAGAAGATCCAAACTGATCTCAAGCACTATGGCAACTGCGCATGTTGCATCAGTGGTGTCTCATGTCTTTTATTTCATTTGCTAATTTTTGTTTTACATTCAAAAACTCCACGACAACCTAAAACTCTGCTTGTGATCATCATGGTCACCGTTTTAATACAAGAGAGTAATATAAAAACAAGAAGTAAAAACAAATACGATAGGGAACAATGAGCAACAAAAATTCAAAATTATGAAAACACTTTGAAAAACGGTTCAACTTTTCTTTTTCTTCTTTTTTCAGTCATGACAGCTTGGCAGTTTTGTCACAACACTGTTACAGTGCTTAAGAACATTTTTCCTGCAAGGACAAAAGTAATCAGGAGAATTTGAAGTTGTCTTTTTTCTTTAATGACACTTAATGGGCACTTTTATTAGGCACACCTGGAAACGACAACCGGTATACAGTATTGTTAAATTAACACCTGTCGGACATCGTCATACAAAATAAAGCAGAATCTTCAATTTCCATTGAACTATGAAGATCGGTGGCTCATGGGCCAAGGATGACCCCTATTGGTACAAATCTAGATAATGGGGCAGATTGTTTTGACTTATATCGGAAGGTGTCCCTAACACTGTTGCCAAGTCAGTGCCTATACTGTATAAATAAAAAGAAAATTAGGATATGTTAATTGAAAGCACGCGCGCGCGCACACACGCACACGCACGCACACACGCACACACACACACACACACACACACACACAACACACACACACACACACACACACGCACACACACACACACACACACACACACACACGTAGATCAACTGAAAGCTGAAATGATTTTTAAGCGTGGTCACTTCTTAGTCAACAAAATCAAGACATTGGCATTGCATTAAATAGACATCCAGGACACACATATTAATAAATGCTTTCCAGAACAGCATTCCTAATATTCTCCTCCCGCCTACACATCTATCAGTGCTGTTCTTGGTCAAGAAATCTAACTTGAAATGTTCATTATAAAAACAAAGCCGGTGGTGCATCCTTTTCAAAAAAAAGTATCACCAAAATAAGAAATGTTTATTTAGTATTTACACTAACATTCACAAATAATGTAATTTTTGAAGACAAGGCTTTCAAAACCTCAATATAAGAAAAAAAATGAAACAAACTGATATAACAGACATAAAGGTGACAACTGGAGTGGTGACATAACGCAAGAGGAAAGAACTCTGGAGTGTAAAACGAACACTTATAATTGGCAAGAAAATTTGCAATTCTAAAAGTTCAAACATGAGAGTTCACCATCCTTGATTTAGGCCCTTCTAGATTAGGTTTAACCAGTAATGAGAGCTCTACAGTACTTGATTTAGACTTTTTCAAAATAAGGCACAACAGTTTCACCTGTCGAGGGAACCAGACATTTTATGTTGAACCACTAGAGGGAAATGGAGAGAACCACAGTAGACAGATTAGAATGATAATTTCAGAATTAGACACTAGAGATCATCATTTTGCCAACATATGTATCCAGAAGCAGCTTTTCTCATGTTTAGAGGGTTAGCCCATGACCATATTCTCACAAATATGTTTCGTGTGTTTTGAATATTACAAAGGGTTGTGCTTATCAATACAAGTGTGAGGAATGTAATGGTATGGTTGGTTATGGTAACATTTAATCATTTACATATCTCCAATCTTGCTCATGTATTCAGAAACAAATGATTCATTTCAAAGGAGTTTTGCCCATGAAGCATGTATCTCAGTTATGTTTTATGTGTTTGAGGTAATAGGTGGTTAAGCCTGTCATTACATGTGAGAGAAGTAATAATGTTTTAGGTTTAGCACGCACGCGCGTGCGCACACACACACGCACGCACGCACGCACGCACGAACGATCAGCTTTGCTAAGTATAATCATGCTTATGTATTTTATAAGTGTATTCACAGTGTTGATATCAACATGTTATTCGCGACCCAGATGGGAAAGTAGAGTGTCAGACGGGGAAGTAGATTGTTGACATCGACACGGTAAATTTAACAACTTTGAAACTGTACAGAAGAAAAGCGTCCCAAAAACAACATGATAAAAAAGTTTAGGTTCCATTAGTGTGAAGCTACATTTAAATCTTTCCCTTAAATCATTAGTCAGGTGAGAGATGGGCCTGCTGAATCATTTGTGCTTGCAGCATTATTGTTCATGATATAGCTCAAAATGCATCAGATGTGCTGTATAACAGTTTTTATTGATATACGTAAACCATGGTTCTTTCTGCATTTAAAAAACAACAACAACTCTGGAAGGATCTTTCTTAGAACTGTTTGTACATGACATGCTGTGGCAGTCTCTCTCAAATTGGGACTGGTACACCATAGACAAAAACAGACATTCATTTCTTTCTTTTGTTTACTAGTGGCATAGGTCAATTGCAAAGTCTCGATCTGGAGGGTTGACAATTCTTAACACTCTATGGATAAAAATCAATAAATAATAAAGAAGTATGGAAATCGATTTTTGTAGATTGAGCAAGGATCTGGATCGTTCCAAACCGTAGTGAAAACTACAAAAAACAAAAACAAAAAAAAGTCACTGGCACGTGGATGTCCGTCAGAATGTATTACTTTCCCGATGTTGCGCATCATTCATTCATCCCAAACAAATGTTACAATTATGATATATTTGCTACTAGAAAAGATTCAGAGTACTGTCTGTACTTCTCATTGTTGCCAGTTACAAACTCTGTTGTAGCTTTGTTCGTGCTTTCCAAACAGAAACATGTAAGCAGACTGTGAAGAAAAATCATTCAGCAGTCAAGGAAACAAAAATGTGGAGTTGTTTTGTCATTTTCTATTATAAAATATCAAGTGAAAATCTTCATCGCAACACTTTGCACAAATGACAAATGTACAGTTCCCATGTAAACAGTGGATATAAAAAGTTTACACACCCCTGTTGAAATACCACAAGTTTTTGGCGATGCAGCAACGGGATCAAGGTAAATCATTTCAAAGCTTTTGTCTACCATTAATGTGCACAGCAACCTGTACAACTCCATTGAAAACATACTTGACAGCTTTTAGAGGAGAGTAAAAACAATCAATTGAGATGAGGTTGCACAAGTTTGCACACCCTCTTATACCTGTGGATGTGTTCCAATCACTTTCTAATTCATGTTAATGTGAGTCAGCACACATCTGCCACCATTTAAAGTACCTGGGATAAACCCCCAATAAATTTCAGCTGTTCTCAGACTTTTCCTGACATTATTGAAATCACGTCTAACAGCACAAGACTTGGCTGCTTTAGAATATCAAATGTGTTTGATGTGATCAAATGTTTCTCAGTCTTTGCAGTGATGTGACGCAACCACCAACCAACAGATAAGCTCCAACAAAATCGCAAAAAAGAAACTCTTTAGTAACCAATCACGTGAACAGCATGGATAGAGGGGAAACACCGGCGAAGACAAAACTGAGAATTGGAAAGGATTGCGTTGTGGTGAAATATGGCGAAAGAATCTAGTTGTAGTTTTGTAAATTGGGATCCTGCAAAATTCAGTCTTTTTAAAATCTCCCTTGAGACTCGGCTGTGACTAAAAACTCTAGAACAGGTTAGACATCACATTAATCGTGGGAAAATAATTTTATTTGGTCCCTTTTTCTAATATCACAAATTCTGACCAATGGAAGTGAAGACTTATCTAAAGTGAATGTTGTGAACACCTCATTGGAAGAACCTGACAGTGCAGCCTGTAACCTCATATTTCTGCCCTATCACTTTGCAAAGTCTCATCTTTAAAATTTGGCACTTTGGGGCCTTTTCGGGGATTCCAGTGTTTGCGACAGCATTGACCGGTTCTTGTATTGGGACCCGTGGCTTCGGGTGATTGAGCACCACCACGGGTTGGTTTGGGCACGGCCACGTCACCAGCTGCTCCACCTTGAGTGGCATCAACCGTCCGGCGTCACGGACAGGTATCGGAGTGTCACATTGACGAGCTGGGGGTTTGGGTCCCTTCTCGCTGTTCATACACATGCCGCGTTCGTCCACTCTTGTCAACGAGACAGTCAAAAATTTGGAGATGTCATACTGACGATTTACATCAAATGCAGACACATCTGACACGTTGGCAGAAACAGGCTCGGCATTTTCGGATTTCAAGGCTGGGTCGTGGCTGCAATTGTCCGTCTGCGTCGATCTGGTTTTCTCCACCATGACATCATCCTTGTCCACATTCGCCACCGTGTTGGATGGCTGTTGCTGAATAAGTTCGATTTTGCTTTCTTCTTTCACGGATCCGCACATCCGGTTTACATTTGGCGTCACCTTCTCAGTTGTGCTGCTTTTGTCCATCACAATGCCCCGCAGTGCCATGACCAGTGGCTGCATGGCGCCCTCAGTGTTTCCTTGTTGTTCGCTCAGGGAAAACACGGAGGAGATGACTGGGAAGCCTTCAGGCTTTGGTGTGTCTCTCTCAGACGTCTCCTTGCTTGGGCGGGCAACCTGAGGCCAAACTGGAATATCTGACTTGGAGCGGCAAGGCACCGTGGGCATTTTGAGCGATGGGGATGCATGGACCGTCCTCTGCCCTGTGGCAGTACTGGGAAAAGACAAATGAGGAGTATCGCTCTCCTGGCAAAGATTGACCTTTGAAGGCGTCACTCGGACAGCTGCACCTGAAGTAACATTCAAGGAAGTGGGTTTGTGACCTTGTTGGTTGACACCTGCTGGAGTGTTCATGACTTTAGGTGTATCCTTGACTTTGGAGCCAGTGTTATCCTTGAGGTAATCCATGCCAGGTTCAGATTTAACAGTGGTGAGTCTGTCGAGGACAGAACGTCCTGCTTTGTCTGCCTTTGAGGGGTGAATACTCTTGCACTGATCTGGAATACTTTTGAGACTTTGATCCGTTATTTGTTGATATGCAGATGAGCCCATTATTACCGACTGCAGGTGAGAGGTCAGCATTCTTGTCTCACGGGTCAAAAGAACGTTGTTTGCTTTCGCTCGATCATGGACAAGTTCGCTCCACGTCGATACAATTTCATTCCTTTCTCGCACAGGATTGCAGACAGTTTTGGAAACCTTGGTCGGACTGTCTAAGTTAATGACTTCCTGTGACGTCCTTTTCAGTGTGAGTTTCACTTTGCTTGCTTGATTTGACATCAGGCTTTTAGACGCGCTGACAGGTTTAACAGCAGAGCATTGCTGAGCCGCCATCTTTGTTTCCAACAGCTTTCTGTTCACCACGCACATTCCCATATTTGGTGACTTTACTGCATTTGGGGGGTTTAATTTGCACGCTAAAGTCTTGCCCGCTGTGAGATTTTGTTGTACTGTTGTTCTTGTGTCTTTCATTCCGGCCTCGTTTTCTTGTTGTGACACCAGCCTCAGCTTTAGCTCCTTTGACCCATTGACGGTTTTTACTTCCACGAGCTCAACTAAGCACCCAGCAGGTATACTTATTTCCTCTGGGAGTGACACTGTTAATGCCCTGTTGTGATGAACAACACTATCTGGAACAACTTTTGAAGAAATAGGAAGCATCGTGTTCATCGTTCTACCTTGCTGCCCGTCTTTAACAAGACTGACACTGGGTGTGCTGAGGGCTGGCACATTTACTTGAACTGGTGGTCGCATTGAGTGCACTGCACTCTGTACACTTGGTAAGGCATTGGAGACCAGGGGATCTTTGCTTCCACCAACCTTTTTGAGTGCTTGACTAATGTTTTTACTATGCACGTACTCAATGTGTTTTAAAAGGTTCATCTTCCGCATGTAGCGCTGTCCACAGTGCGGGCATGAGAGAGTCGACTTGATGTGTTCCTCCAGGTGAGAGTTTAGCTCTGCCTTGTTCAATACGGATTTTTGGCAGTAAATACAGAACAGTTTGGACCCAGTGTGGTCAAGCATGTGCCTTTTGAATAAGTCCAATGTCATACTGACGATTTACATCAAATGCAGACACGTCTGACACGTTGGCAGAAACAGGCTCGGCATTTTCGGATTTCAAGGCTGGGTCGTGGCTGCAATTGTCCGTCTGCGTCGATCTGGTTTTCTCCACCATGACATCATCCTTGTCCACATTCGCCACCGTGTTGGATGGCTGTTGCTGAATAAGTTCGATTTTGCTTTCTTCTTTCACGGATCCGCACATCCGGTTTACATTTGGCGTCACCTTCTCAGTTGTGCTGCTTTTGTCCATCACAATGCCCCGCAGTGCCATGACCAGTGGCTGCATGGCGCCCTCAGTGTTTCCTTGTTGTTCGCTCAGGGAAAACACGGAGGAGATGACTGGGAAGCCTTCAGGCTTTGGTGTGTCTCTCTCAGACGTCTCCTTGCTTGGGCGGGCAACCTGAGGCCAAACTGGAATGTCTGACTTGGAGCGGCAAGGCACCGTGGGCATTTTGAGCGATGGGGATGCATGGACCGTCCTCTGCCCTGTGGCAGTACTGGGAAAAGACAAATGAGGAGTATCGCTCTCCTGGCAAAGATTGACCTTTGAAGGCGTCACTCGGACAGCTGCACCTGAAGTAACATTCAAGGAAGTGGGTTTGTGACCTTGTTGGTTGACACCTGCTGGAGTGTTCATGACTTTAGGTGTATCCTTGACTTTGGAGCCAGTGTTATCCTTGAGGTAATCCATGCCAGGTTCAGATTTAACAGTGGTGAGTCTGTCGAGGACAGAACGTCCTGCTTTGTCTGCCTTTGAGGGGTGAATACTCTTGCACTGATCTGGAATACTTTTGAGACTTTGATCCGTTATTTGTTGATATGCAGATGAGCCCATTATTACCGACTGCAGGTGAGAGGTCAGCATTCTTGTCTCACGGGTCAAAAGAACGTTGTTTGCTTTCGCTCGATCATGGACAAGTTCGCTCCACGTCGATACAATTTCATTCCTTTCTCGCACAGGATTGCAGACAGTTTTGGAAACCTTGGTCGGACTGTCTAAGTTAATGACTTCCTGTGACGTCCTTTTCAGTGTGAGTTTCACTTTGCTTGCTTGATTTGACATCAGGCTTTTAGACGCGCTGACAGGTTTAACAGCAGAGCATTGCTGAGCCGCCATCTTTGTTTCCAACAGCTTTCTGTTCACCACGCACATTCCCATATTTGGTGACTTTACTGCATTTGGGGGGTTTAATTTGCACGCTAAAGTCTTGCCCGCTGTGAGATTTTGTTGTACTGTTGTTCTTGTGTCTTTCATTCCGGCCTCGTTTTCTTGTTGTGACACCAGCCTCAGCTTTAGCTCCTTTGACCCATTGACGGTTTTTACTTCCACGAGCTCAACTAAGCACCCAGCAGGTATACTTATTTCCTCTGGGAGTGACACTGTTAATGCCCTGTTGTGATGAACAACACTATCTGGAACAACTTTTGAAGAAATAGGAAGCATCGTGTTCATCGTTCTACCTTGCTGCCCGTCTTTAACAAGACTGACACTGGGTGTGCTGAGGGCTGGCACATTTACTTGAACTGGTGGTCGCATTGAGTGCACTGCACTCTGTACACTTGGTAAGGCATTGGAGACCAGGGGATCTTTGCTTCCACCAACCTTTTTGAGTGCTTGACTAATGTTTTTACTATGCACGTACTCAATGTGTTTTAAAAGGTTCATCTTCCGCATGTAGCGCTGTCCACAGTGCGGGCATGAGAGAGTCGACTTGATGTGTTCCTCCAGGTGAGAGTTTAGCTCTGCCTTGTTCAATACGGATTTTTGGCAGTAAATACAGAACAGTTTGGACCCAGTGTGGTCAAGCATGTGCCTTTTGAATAAGTCCACATCCGACGTAGCAAATCCACACTTGCCACAATGCATAGTGTCAAGAAATTTTGGCGTACGAACCAAGTAACCATGTGGTTGTCTGGTGTTCATGCTGGAAGGAAAGCTCTGACACTTGACAGGCTTCATAATGACTGGTCACCTGGCAGTAGCAGCTCCCCCCACTTCCGCAGCTTCACACCAGCGTCCACATGTCTCCGCTTTCTGGTGCCACTGTATAGAGAGTGGTATTAGAAAGTGTAACACGTTGTTAACGAAGGTTTTTGACGACAGAGCAGTCCCTCCAGAGCCCTTCCCCCCGACATTAGTTATTTGAGATGTCTAGATTCCAGAGCAAGTACAAACATCTGTAAACACGAGCCATCACGCCTAAACATGGTGAACGATTTTATGCAATGTAATATAAGCTGTATCTTTAAATTTTGTCCGGGGCTAGCGAGAGTCGTTTATTCTGAATCCACAGGAAAGGCCCAAACAGCAAGGTTGCGATGCAAAAGGGGCTGGAGAAAACACACCCCTGTAGTCTAACGGTTTGTTCGCGAGGTGTGTACATGCTGTTTACGTACCTTTGTGCAGTGTTTTGTAAACACGTTAGCGGAAAATAGTGATCATTGTTTTGAGCTGGATGTGAACAAAAAAGATTCTTATGTGAGCGAGTCAGTCACCTATTTGCTTTGCGTGAGCTGGCGTGCTAAAATTATTCCGGAAACGTTCAAATACCTTCAAAATAAGAAATAAAACGTGCTTTAAATGAAACGCGCTTGAGCGCGTACGTGTATCTATTTCTCCATTACTAAAAATACAACTTCACATAATAAAGGGAGTAAGATCTTTGGTGATATGCGACATGAAAGTGTTTTATGATATGAGTAAAGATGCATTTAACTTTGAAAGTCAAAACCGGAATTTTGTTATTGCTGGAGCTAGGATGCGACAGTCGTGCGTTAACTAGCATCGGTGTTTTGCTTTCGGAAATGCACGTAAACCTTGCGTATCGTGTCTTCATACTTACGCTAGATATTCACGACGTTTCAAAAAAGTCACGTAAACGATCTGATTGGTTGCAACCATTTCTCAACCGGAAGACGATTAAATCAGCAACACACGTACTCTACTGTATTTTCAAACACAGCTGACACATTGACTCATTATTTAGAGTGACTAGTTAGTAATTATCTCTTTTCACACAAAATGACGCTCGAATGATAGAAATAAGCTGTTTGTAAAGACAGTCATAACTTCACGTTTATGCATTAAAGCGCATTGGAGACTTGAACATTTCAAGTTTCCCCACTCGTGTTTTCACTTGTTGTTAAGGGAGCCTCGCCGTGACCATTGTAGGGAACTTCTGGGATTTACACACCATTGTTGTATTTCATAATGACACAGCAGCCACTGGCTTTGACTTGACCCTCCCACTCCCTCGTTTGTCGCACACCCAGCTTCCTGGTTATGGCGATAATAACCCGCCTAACTGGCACTCAACCCCCTTTCCTTTCCATCATCTCCTCGTCCGTCACCAGACTTTTCTCGTCTTTCGGTGTGTTCCGTCGCAAAATGACAGCATCCACAAGCGAGGTGACCCGGTTCGACTTCCTGGTGGTCGGCGGAGGTTCCGGAGGTCTGGCGGGGGCTCGGAGGGCGGCGGAGCTCGGCGCAAACGCAGCCGTGATCGAGAGTCATAAACTTGGAGGTACCTGCGTGAGTAACAACTGCAAACACCTGACATGCCACGCGTGACAGTCACCAGCGTGGACGCGAAGCCTCCGGAAGCTTCCCTGGTCGACCGTTAAGTATATATGAGATAAACACCGAGTTCTGACTGATAGACAGGAGTGAAGTATGGGTCGACTGTGTTGTTTTTCAAATGTTCTAATTTCAATTGTTAAAAACATTTACATTCGAGTCCCTGTTCTCCAAAACGAACAAAGTGATTTTACCATTCACCATATATACACACACACACATTAAAAAAATCTGAAATATTTTCTACAGAAAGTCTTAGTACAGTGTAATTTTTTTGGTGTATTTTTTGTATATATTTTGTATTTTGTAACATTCTGCTGTGCTGTTTTATCCTCTTTGGTTCTCCAAAATTGTACACCCTTCCACTATTTTTTTTAAATACAGAGTTTAGCAATATTGTACCACTGTCATGACCAAGATTAAAAACAGTATCATTGTTGGCCTAAGTGTTAATTAATTCCTAAAAAAAAAATATATTCCTATTATTTTAAGGCACTGAATTGTGCGTTGTACAAAGAGCTCTTAAAGAATGAAATCAAATTGTACTGCGGAATTAAAACTGAAGTATACATAAGCAATTCAACAATGATTATTTCAAGTACTGTACCAGTAAAGGGAGTTCACATGCCACATTTTGAAAATTCCTACTCTTGTGCTAGAATGCTTCAATTTCCACTCTGGCAATCAATAAAGAATCATCTTATCTTATACACAGTAGTAAGGGTTCCCAAACTTCTATTCTATACAGGTTATCTCAATAAAGTAGAATGTTGTACACTATTATACATACCTTTCACTATTTTAGTTGAATTATTGAAGTAAAGTATTTTATGGTCTTAATTATTAAGAATGAGGCACATATATGTTTGTGTTTTCCAAATTTAGCGGCCACAAAACCAAACACAATTTAGTCACTTTATTAATCCTATGAGGAAAATTATACACTGTAAAATTCAGTTAGTTACTGAAGAGAAGTGTCTTTAATTTCTCAATATGTTAGCCTTGAGAAATAGGTGTTTGGAAATATTAGGTTCTGCATGTGTACCTAATATCGTGGCTTATGACAAGCGAAGTTATGAAGAGGAAATTTTGCTCTTGTGTGACTTCTGCCGTGTTCCAAAAATGTATTTTAAAAAACTAAACTGAATAATATCATAAAAACATGAACACAGATTTGTAACTATAAAGAAGCATGTTTACAGTTTTGGTACAAAACCTGTAATGTTTTTGGTCTAATGCAAACAGACATTGTACATTATTACCATATTTAAAATAATATATATTTTACACTTGTGCTATTGTCAAATTTAACAGAGACTATGTACTCTTCATTTTTTTTCAGGTCAACGTTGGCTGTGTCCCAAAGAAGGTAAGCCTTTTTTTTCTCTACTTGTAGAAACACCACTATTATCTCTGCTCAAAACTGTAAAGTCAAATTCAACTTAAATCTTAAGGCTCTTTCCTTCTCCTTCCCAGGTGATGTGGAATGCGGCGGTGCATGCAGAATTTCTTCACGACCACGCTGATTACGGCTTCAATGTTGAAAAAGTTAATTTCAGTTGGGAGTAAGTGATTTCTGTGTTGCCATTTTGTTGGGAAACTTGTTACGGTTATGAATGGAGGAAATGCAAAGTCATAGCAGCATGCATTGTCGCTCTTGTTGCGTCACTAAGCTTTGTCAGGGTTGTACTAATGAAAGGCAGGCTTCAGGGAGGTGTGTTCAAAACAACGTTCATTGGGATGGCTTGCATATCACAGAGGCTGGACTGATTTCATATTGTGTGTTTCTAAAAGCAAAGCTTTGTAAGGAAAGTAACGTTAAGCACAAGTATAGAATATGCACGAACATTGTAAATGTCATGTGACCAAACCTGGAACCTTAACAAACTCCCTATGTATGCTGGGGGTTGATGAGATAGTACTTTGAACACTATTTTAGCAAGTTCAGGTTCAAACCATGTCTACAACCTGCAGCACACTCAGCAATGCTGCTAACCTGTTTTGTGGGTTTGGTCACATGTTTGTGCCAATAGTTGACATTAATTTCAATCACCGGCAGAGGGTAATATTGCCCAACATGGTACACCCCCCGCCCCCAACCTGAAATTGATGGAGATTTATAATTTTTACTAATTAATTCTTATTCTGCATATGAAATATTGAATTAAATACCTTGTATTGATAATTCTTGCAAAAAAAAAAAAGTTCTTCCTCTGTATTGGGTAACCTAAGTATTGTTTTGAAAGTGGAGACAAAAAAATAATAATAATTGAACTGTGAAGGAGTCCAAATAGAATTTTAAATGCTTGATATATTATCACCCTCTGTGTTTTCAGAACATTGAAAACAAAAAGGGATGCTTACATCAGACGCCTGAATCAAATTTATCGCAACAATCTTGATAAGGTAATTACAAATCAGTTTACGAAGTGTGCAAACCCTCCAGAGGGTTATCCAAATTAAAAAAAAAAAAATCTCTCAACTACCGGTAATAATAAATGTCACGTTTCATCTTGGATAGGCTAAAATCCAAACCATTGAAGGTCGTGCCAGGTTCACTAGTGATCCAGAGCCAACATTAGAGGTCAATGGCAGGAAGTACACAGCGCCTCACATCCTCATCGCCACTGGGGGGCAGCCTTCTGTGCTGACTGATGCTGAGATTCCAGGTGGGACCCTCTAAAATGCAACATGGACTTTAATCTGTAATCAGCTTGGTGCATGAGTGACCTGTTTTGCTCTGCTTGATGGATGGATAGATGGATGGCTCATTATCATAAGACTAGCTCAAGCTCAACTGTGGGTATAATTTGCTCTTTGATAAATGCAGGAGCAAGTCTGGGAATCACCAGTGATGGCTTTTTTGAGCTTGAAAGCCTTCCAAAGTAAGCATTTAATTCTGCACTTATTTTTGATGCTATGCGAAAAGAAATGTCTACAGAAATGAGCAATTTTACTTGGTCAACAGGCGTAGTGTTGTCGTGGGTGCCGGTTACATTGCTGTGGAGATGGCGGGCATCCTCACGAACCTGGGCTCGAAAACCTCCCTAATCATACGGCAGGGTGAGGTAAGAAGATGAGTGGAAATTAAATGCACTTTTGAGTTGTGCAGGTTTGCTTATTAGAGTACAAAGTGGCATCTCAATTTATGAGTGACCTGACTTCTGAATTTTTCAAGGCAAAAAAAAAAAAAATTTGTCGCTCTCCAAGTACCACTGTCATGACCAACACTCCAAGGTTTACAGGAATTGAGTTGAAATATGACAGGGGGGAAAAAAATACAGTAAAACTAAATTATCCGAGACTGTGGACAAAAAATGTTAATCAGAGAAGTTGATACATTACAGTTCATGAAAAACATTTGCCATCTACGACAAATTAAAATGTCAATTTCAAAGAAATAAAGTACCATATTTCTCGGATTACACGTCGCTCCGGATTATAAATCGCACCAGACAAAAAATGCATAATTAAGAAGGAAAAAACATATATAAGTCGCACTAGAGTATAAGTCACATTTTTGGGGAAGTTTATTTGATAAAATCCAACACCAAAAACATACATGTCATCTTGAAAGGCAATTTAAAATAAAAATAAAACTAGAGGACAACAGGCTGAATAAGTATACGATATGCTAAAGTTACATGACGCTTAAACAACGAACTGTGAATGTGCCTGGTATGTTCACGTAACATATTAAGAGTTATTTAGACAACTATAGCACAAAGAACATGCTAACAAATTTACTAAACCATCAGCGTCACTCCAAATTAAAATGTAGTGCATGTAAAAGCTACATGGACAGTCTCGCTAAATAAGTTAAAAAACAAACAGTTCTTAAAGGGGAAGTCAGCCCCCAAATTTTAACGATTAAATCCAAATGTATGGGACGACAAAGTTAAATGCAACTGAACTGTCCTTGGGCAGTGATTCATTTGCGTACCAACGGTGGCACTGCTGCAATTGTTATTTTTCTTACTAAAAACACAGATTATCACTGGTGCGTTTTTGTGGGGCTGGAACAGAATTGTGTAATGGAATTTCCACTCATGTCATTGGAGAAAAATGAGTCTAGATACATGTGTTCTGACTTATGAGCATGGTCAAATAACACATTCAACACCTAAGTCAAGGCACTATAGACATTCTTAATATTTACTTGTTTTGTAGGTTTTGAGGAACTTTGACAGCTTTATCAGCATAAACTGCACCAAAGAGCTACAGAACTCTGGCGTGGATTTGCAGAAGAACGCTCGGGTGACATCGGTGCGCAAAACCGACACGGGGCTGGAGGTGACGTTTGTCACTAATGACACTGGCAAGATCAGCACTATTTCAGAAGTGGACTGTGTTCTGTGGGCAATCGGCAGGAAGCCCAACATCTCTGGACTAAATATTGGCGAGATGGTATGTGCTACTCAATGTCAATTGTCTTGGTCGCTTTCATTCCAGTTGCCCAATTGCATTTAAGATGGTTTGTTGTGTGTTATCCACATGGGAGGTAAAAAGATGGAGTTATTTTAAATAAGATGATGCATGTTACTGAATGTCAAAGACATAATTCACTGAAACCTTTGAGGTTAAACACAATCTGTTCTTCTGGTCAACCTAATTTCTTTCCATTGGACATAATTGAAATCTAATCTTTTCCAGAGTCAAACTGTAGCTATCATAAAACCAGTCACCTTACGCTGTGTTTTCTATGCTATTGCTATTTATTATTTATTATTTTCTTCAAATATATTGCTAATGCTTTATTTATATTGCACTTATATTGAACTGTGTACAGTTCTTCTGAAACATTTATTTTGTGCAAATGAAACACTTTAGCTCCCCCCATCTTGCTGCTGTAGAATGCAAATTTCCCCAGTGTGGGACTAATAAAGGTTATCTTATATTTCAAGGAACAATGTAACATCCTCAGCTGTCATCAAAGTGTAAAAATAACCACTAGTATCTTAAAAAAAAAAAGAACATTTTAAAAACTACGTTGACAGAAGTGTAGGGCACTGTAGAAATGTATGAGGGCATTAAACTTCAGTGGTTCCACAAAATTTCATAAACACATTACCGTATTTTCTGCACTATTGGGCGCACCAAAAAGTCTTCAATTTTCTTAAAAGCTCACCGAGCGCCTTAAAATCCGGTGCGTCTTTTGTATGGTCATTAAGGTAATACGACTCCAAGATGGATCCTTCCTGGAGACATGCTTCCAATGTTATAACTTGCTGTTGGTTCAGTGAACTGTGTCGCTGCTTTATTAAATAAGTTTGCGTTGCAGCTCCGAAAAAAGGAGAGCTCTGTGGTGTTAATTTTTTAAAACAGTCTCAACAAATACAGGTACGTCTTTGTCTATCTCCGTGCTTTCTTCCGTTCGACTCGAGAGGCGTTCAAGACCGCCACCGCAAAACGTAAACTAACGATTACTTCAATGAAACTACAAAATTTGAAAATAATACATCAAAACTGAAAAGCAAGCGAGGATATAACAAAATAAATTCTATTGCCCCCCCCTACAGAATTTATCTTGTGATTTCATCATTTGTGAATACACAACAAAGGAATAATTTACTACGACTGACATCTTGTTGTGTTATTTTGACTTCTAGATGGCGCAGCGAGAGTGGCTGCCTTTACAGCAGCTCCTATTTATTTTGTTCTTCTACTTCTTCCTCTCATAACTTTGCGGCTGTGAAGTGGGAATTTCTCCATTGTGAGACTATTAAAGGTTTTCTTATTTTATCTTATCTGTTTGTACTCTTGGAGCTACGATAAAGGAAATGCCAATAGGTTTTTCGGAGGCGGTCATGAACGCCTCTTGAGTTGACCGGAAGAAAAGAAGGGACGGAGATGGACAAAGACACACCTGAGTTTGTTGAAAAAAATGAGAGCTGTGGTTGTGGTTTTATTATTTTTTTAAACGCAGACTTTATTAATGGTTTTCACAGTCTCAGCAAGTACAGGAACTGTATGTCTTTGTCTGTCTCCGTGCTTTCTTCCGTTCCACTCGAGAGGCGTTCATGGCCGCCTACGAAAAACGTAAATTAATTCTTACTTCAATGAAACCACGAAGAAAATCAAGCGAGGAAATCACAAAATAAATTCTGTAGGGGGATATACAATTTATTTTGTGATTTCCTCGCTTGATTTTCTGTTTTGATGCATTATTTTCAATTTTTGTAGTTTCATTTAAGTACAGTAATAGTTAATTTACATTTTTTAGAGGCGGTCATGAACGCCTTTCAAGTTGAACGGACGCCTCTCGAGTTCAATGGAAGGAGCGTAGCACCATCTAGCTGACGCATTGTAGATTGCACCTTTTAGTGCGAAGCGTCTAATATATGAAAATTTTTTACAAAATAGCCATTCTTTGAAGGTGCGTCTCATAATCCAGTGCGTCTTTTCGTGCGGAAAATAAGGTACCTAAAAAAATCTTGTTACTCTACCATTCTGTTTTGAAATTGCTTTTTTCTGTAATACTACATAATAATTATTCCTTTGCCCGTACAGTATTTTTCCCTCCCAAACTTTTGGACTTATTTTGCGAGGTCAAGGAAGTTGGCATAATGGCTGGAAACGTCACTGCACTTAGAAAGTAACCAATCACATTGCTCTGATGTCGTCCCCTATCATGCTGACTGACTGGGAAGGTGCAGGGCATCTAGAAAATGACTATCTGTGATATATTAAATCAGTGTTCCGGTGCTCAAATTCATTACTTTGTTTTTTTGATTATCTCTCAGCTTTCACCCTTTTTATTTCTAGGGAATTTTAATTTGGTGCATGTTGTTCACACAGTGTGAATGGGAAAGGCTTGCACTATTTTAACAGGAAAATCTGGTGTGATAGTGGATTAATTAAAATGGCAGCTGAATGCCTGTTTACTCGGTGCACACCTCTATTAGTGGTTCATTAACAAAGGTAGCATTCCGCTGTTGGATTGTTCATTAACAGAAAGAATAGTACAGGTACTGTTTACCGTGAATGCAGAACAGTGTGTAATTGATGACTAAAACTGCAAACTACAGTCACAAAAATAAACAATTTTAAATTAATACCCCTCGGGCAATATCGTTCCAAAAGGCCTGACTGACTATTCATTCTGCTGTCATTATTATTTGCACAGCTGAATTTAAGGGAACGTCTGTTGAAAACAAGTCCTTTCTTACAGTTTGGTGTGTGTGTGTGTGTGTGTGTGTGTGTGTGTGTGTGTGTGTGTGTGTCTGTGTGTGTGTGTGTGTGTGTGTATGTGTGTGTGTGTGTGTTGTCAGGGTGTAGACACAGATGAACATGGCCACATCGTGGTGGATGAATACCAAAACACCAGTCGACCGGGAATCTACGCCGTCGGAGATGTTTGCGGCAGAGCTCTTCTCACGCCTGGTAAGAACGTGACGTGTATGTACATTATGTAATGACATTGTTAAAGAAGTGGAGTGAACAATAATTACACTGCTTACCTGAACCTCTCTGTCAGTGGCAAGTGAAGTGTATTTATTTGCATTTGTCTACTTACAAAATCGTCTTGGAATCCTCCATTTTTTTTGGTTGAAATTTTCAACTATTCCTTGTTTTGGTGCTCAGGCCAAAGCCCTGTTTAATATTAAAGGATATTGCTTTGGTGGCATCTTGGTGCCAAGGAACTATGTTCAAGTAAGGCGAGGAGCTTCTTTTAGACAGGACATAACCCTGTCTCATAGAACCATAGTACTTTGCCGCCATGTTGTCGTATATATAGGACCATTATAATCATTTATACTTGCTGCATCTGTGCTGTATGTTGCACATACAGCGCATTTGACAATACAGTTGTACTTGACTTAAGTGTATCGTATAATGTTCTGTAACTGAACAGATATTTAAAATGCATTTATTTATTTAGTTCCCATTTACCTGTCAGTTGGTGGGAAAAAAAAGTCTGTTATGTATACGGTGTGTTTGCTTCTCTGAGTTGGCAAACAGACGTTTTAAAATAACTTTGAAAAACAGATTTATATATACACAATTTATTTTATTTTTTTTGGTCTTGTTTGGCGATGTGCCACATACGCAGATCTGCACAATATTTGACAAGATAAATTTTGGCGCCTTGGTGATGAAATGCGGCCTGCACAATAGGACTTAAAATAATCGTGATTGCAAACCTGGCTTTTCATGATCAGAAAAACATTCTAATCGAACAGAAGTGGTTATTATTATTAACAATGTCTCAGCAAATTCCGGCACCCTTTGTTGCTTCCGGCAAGCGTGTGACGTGTCATTCTACCCTCCGTCAGGTGTTTTAAGATGTGAATTGTCACCCCATCTCGAATTAACTGTAAAACTCAACAAAAAAAATCTCATAAAAAAAATCTATTAATGACGAATTATAAACAACATTAAAATATATCAATCTTGCTCAATGAAGAAATAAACATTCCAATATGTTGAACACAAGACATTTGATCTTGAAAATAACCTTGACCCGGACAATCACTTCGATAGAAATAACCACAACTCTGGTTGCAAGTATTATATCAATGATCAATTTAATGAAAACATAAAAATGGAAAATCCACAATGAATCAGACACTTTCACAGCAGACTGATGGAGAAAGACAAACTTAATATTATCATGTTTCAAAGTTTCATTTCAGTGTATGATTGGTTGACCTCGAATGCTATACAGTATTCTCACAATTTGTACACAGTGGAGCACACAGAAAAAAGGGACAACTTGAGCTGAAGGAAGCTAGGGCCTCATTAACTGATAAGACAGGCAGGAAGGTCCAACTTCGGGAGGGCAGCATGACCAGATGTCCTCCTGTTTGTTACAGTGTCTTAATTCATGTGAAATCTACCCATCGTATTAACAAGGTATCCATTGTTTGCACCGGAAGATGTTTTGGCCTCCAGGTGTCCACTGAGGGTCATGTTGGTGGGTTGGACTGAGAAGTGCGACATGCAAATGAGGAGGAATGTTTTTCTGATATGATACTTGTATTTTGCATATCCTGTGAATAAAAAGTGGTCAGCGGGGGTGCGAAGGTGGGGTTTCGATCTGAGAGGAAACACGACTTGTGTTGCCTTCAAGGAACTTCACCCCAGTTGCTGATCAGCAAAAGACAATCCGTTCCTGAGTTGAGTCGAGTATTTTCATTCAAAGTTCAAGATGTTCGGGTGAATTCCCTGACACAGACCTCTATAAAAACTTAAGTAAAATAAATACATTTCCAATTATTGCCCATGAAGAACAAGGACTAGGAAGAGTCAAGCCCTAAAAAAACATGAATGACACAGGGGATCGAAAATGCCTGTAAAAAGAAAATCATACTATCAGTGGATAATAATACCATTTATTAATCATGATTTCAATATTGATCAAAATAATCATGATTGGTTTTTTCCATCATCGCCCAAACCTACTCCACAAGCAAAAATACAATTAATGCTTATACTGTCTTGATAGGGGCCTCCATGCGCCTCACAGGTCATACTTGTTTTGTTTTTTTTTTTTCTTTAGTAGTCATCCTCTAACCCCACCCCTAGTTGTGATGGTTACAAAAGCTGTTCTGTTTGTCAAGTAGGTTAATTTCAGTAAGGGCAAAAAGCATACTGTAAAAAATGCATGGGAAAAAAAATGTATTGTGCAGTCAACTGTACGTTTTTGTTTCTTTTCAGTTGCCATCGCTGCTGGCAGGAAGCTGGCGCACAGACTGTTTGAGGGCAAGAAGGATTCCAAGTTGGACTATTCCAACATTCCCACGGTGGTGTTCAGCCACCCACCCATTGGCACAGTGGGCCTCACAGAAGGTGAGTTGGAAAGGCCTTCTGCAGTGCCACATCCACTGGTCACGCACCCGACCCCCCCGCCCCCTCACAGAGGAGGCAATAATAAGCAAAGGCAAAGAGAACGTGAAGATCTACAAGACCTCCTTCACGCCACTGTATCACGCCATCACCACCCGCAAGACTTCTTGCATCATGAAGATGGTGTGTGTGGGCAAGGAGGAGAAGGTAGGAGTGACCTGGTTCAGAAAGTCTCAAATTCAAATGATTTTGGGTGGAAAAGCACTACTTGTCTAGATTAGGCAGGACTATAGTCTGACTAAATCAAGCCCCTCCCCTCACTTCAACATTGTTTTTTGACACCATGGTGCCAAAGCAATATTTTTATTTAAGACAAGGCTTTGTCCTAAGCACAAAACAAGTGCAAAGGTGAGTTCTTCAGCAAATAACGGAGGGTACAGTACTGTGAAATAGTACAGGGTGTTCCAAAAGTCTTGGGCACATTTGAAGTCCCCATATCTCCTGAACTATGAATGGTAGTAAGATAAAAGTCGTGCCATTTTAAAGCTAATTACATGAAGTTTTTCGTAAGGCTATGGATTTTTAAAATGTATTTTCAGACCCATTAATGGCGTTCACTCAACCAGAAAAGGCGTTTTGTGTGCTTGAATTTGCAAAAACTGAATCATGGACTGTTGTTCAACGTGCATTTCGCAGAAAATTCGGAAAGGAGCCACCAGAGAGGAATCCATCGTGAGATGGCATGATAAAGTCATAACGGATGGGTGCTTATACTTTAAGATGAAGGCACGAATAACAGAAGCTGTTGCAACCATTGACAATGCGATGCTGGGACGCGTTTGGCAAGAATTTGACGATCGGCTTGATGTGTGTCGTGTGACCAATGGTGCTGACATTGAACATCTTTGAACATTCCATGTAAAAATTGAGATTACAAGCTTTCTGAATTTACCAGATGCGTTTTTATATCCTTAATAGTTTCCGAGATATTCAATGTCAAAATGTGCCCAAGACTTTTGGAACACCCTGTATTTGCCCCCTTCCTGATTTCTGTGTTCTTTGCATATCCATCATCTACAAAAGTTTCAGCTCATCATATCAATTTTAGTATCACACAAACTACCCAAGAAATACAAAATGCAGTTTCTAATTGACAATTTCATGTTTTTTGACACGCAAATAAAGTAGAAGCGGTGGTGTAATGTACATCCACACACGCATGCAAAAATTATTAGCATCAAACTCCGTGTTGTGTATAAAATATAGTTTTTCACAAAAAGCTTGTTTTCTGCTTTTTTTTTTTTAACAGAATAGGTGGTTTTGGTGAAACGAACCATGTTTTACTTCTGATGACTAAAAAAATGGAATAAGGTAGAAACAAGCTCATTTTGGTAATGAAAGAAGGGAGCCTAATGTTTCATTTCATTATATGTTTACATAGTCATAAAAAACATTAATCAGTAAGCCCTGAAAGATCAATCAGAATGCTCTGAATTGGCTGGCACTCAAGGTTTTTGTTTTTTGTGTTTGTTTGTTTGTTTTAAACGGCTGGCATTGAAAGAGTTCAACACCTCCTCAGGATGCTGGCCACCTCTGCTAAACTCGGCTACTTTGTTTGTTAAACAGATCATTTCATTCCATCCCTGAAATGAAATGAATTATAAAATCAGTCTTAGGTTCAATTTTTCATATTTTCTGAAAAATGTCCCCCACCACAGTTGTTATTAACAACAGTGTGGAAGAAATTAACGGAATAATCGCCTGTTTAGCTTTTATGCACTTTGTGACTACAGGTACACGTACTAGCCACGATTCGGACTGACTTCATTGGCATTTAATTTTAACAATAGCTTGCTAATGCTAAAGAAAATGGTTATTTTGGGCAAGTCATGTCAACACTGTGGAATAACGCAGTTTTCCAAACCTTCAAAAGACCTAGCTGTATTTCAGCAACGCGTGCCAATAGCCAATTGCATAATGTTTTGAGTGAAATTGCCAGGTTAGTGTAGGTGTTAAACAGGCTAATGTTCTCCGTTTTCTCCCCCAGATTGTTGGTCTGCACATGCAGGGTCTGGGCTGTGATGAGATGCTGCAGGGTTTCGCTGTGGCTGTCAAGCTTGGCGCGACCAAAGCAGATTTTGATAAGACTGTTGCCATTCACCCGACCTCTGCTGAGGAGCTTGTCACCATGCGTTAACGGGACAAAGCTGGGGCTCAAATACACGTTCGTTCCACAAGAAAGTCCATCTGATGAATTGCTTCATAAAACGACACTCATTTTTACTCATTTAAATGGCCCTTGTTGTGCACATTCTTTTTTTTCTGCCTTTTACCAAGACCGAGTTGTAGCTTTCTCAAATTGTACTGTGGGTCTTAATGATTGAGTGGTAATTACAATGGACTCTATTTTCAGTCATGGATGGCGTGATTGCATGGGAAGGCCAAAGACCTCGACCTTATTTTATGTTTGATCCGAAGTGAGTCATTTGTCAAAACACTGCTCCCCGCAAAGGAACCCATCTAGTACCAATTACGTACAAGTCATGACACATCAACTGTACTGTTGGAAAGAATAAATAAACATTCATTCTTTGTTCATATGTGTTTTGGGGATTCTCCTGGTTTTATTGAATGTTTCAAAACAACATGTGTTGTAGCAACCATCTAAACTTCGACTCCCTGGTCCATTGTGTTTAAGTTTACATGTGTTGACATAGGATAAATAAACCAGAACTACTGTCACACCTAAACCAGGGGTGTGGAAACTGCAGTCTCAAGTTGAGCTATGCGGTTGTACAACCAAGTACAATAATTGTTATAAAAACGTTCGGGTTGTCCCAATCTGATCAAAAATCAGGGGGGCAGGGGGGGTCATGTGACTTTCAACTGATCGGTATCTGCTGGAAAAGATTGGATTTTTAAATTTCTAAAGTCGATAATAAAATATTTACCTTTTTTCTAAATAAATAAGATAAGTGAGACTGTTCGGGTGTGGTCTTTTTCATTGCATTGCAGAGCTGATTATGGACACTCGGGATCCATTTTGGAGAACAAAATGAAAAACTGAATGGTTGAGCATGCATTGAACATTTTTTTTGTTGTTTTTTTTTAAGGTCCAACTAAATTTACCAGAATAAGTTAATGTATTTTCGGTCCTTCCTAAAATTTCACCTGAAAGCCAAATATCCCACACATTTGTTAGTTTGGATAAGTAAAGAAATGATCTATCAAACAATGAATGTTTTCTGAAATATAAAAATGAACCGAACACGATGAACATTAGTATTGATTTGATTTGCAAACCTGTTACTTTCTATTCTGCAAACTAATCTGTGTGTGTGTGTGTGTGTGTGCGTGTGCGTGTGCGTGTGCGTGCGTGCGTGCGTGTGTGTATAAGATGCCTATGACTCTAAACAAGGTTGCGCCAAACAGCTAAATATGAACATATGATGTACTGTATACAAATAAAATCCTCACGAGGTTCGTCGGTGTGCTGGAGCCTATCCCAACTGTCTTTGGGCAGTAGGCGCACCCTGAACTGGCTGCCAGCCAATCGCAGGGCACACATAGACAAACAACCATTCACAGTCACGCATAGGGAGAAATTAGTGTTCTCTCATCCTACTCTTCATGTTTTTTGGGATGTGGGAGGAAATCTGAGTACCCAGAGAAAACCCACTCAGGCACGGGGGGCATGCAAACTCCACACTGGAAGGATTCAAACCCACGACCTCTGCACTGCACTAAATATCTTACATAAAGTACTGTACTGTTAATGCTTGAGCTGGACAAGTCGAAATATTTGATATTTTGCAGCCCGTTTTTCTTGAAAACCTCACAAATGTATAAACTAAACCTCCCCTTTACTAAAACGTTAGCGCCTCAATGTCCTCACATGATCCTTTGACACATTCGGAGAGGTAGAAATAATGCAATATCACGGTTACGAAGCGAATTGCTGTGCAGAAACGTTTGAGTGGATTTTATTGTAATTTCTCACTTTATATATTTTAATAATTTATTGTTTAAATTGATCACACATTATCCAAAAATATGGCTTCGGGGAAAAAGATTAAAAAACGTTCGTTAATTATCGTCATATGACGTTGGTTAGCAAATCTCGCGGTAAGTGACGTTATCTTACTCGATTTCAGCGTCGTTCTCACGAGAGGATTAGTCTTCCGTGACTAGCGTCACGGGTCACGTGTTCATTATGTTTGTAGCGCTTCCAGTTTGTCCATAGGTTCGCGAAAATGGGCACAGACTATGCCGAACAAAACTCACCGTAGAGCGGTAGGGCTTTTGTCAAACATCCGATTATACGTGCTAATTCGGCCACTTTGGCGATGTGAGTTGACTAAATTAACAAACGTCTCAAGATGCTAGCTTGTTAGCCGACTGAAGCAGCGTTAGCACAACCGGCAAAAACAGTTTTTGACCTTATCACAAACGACCATATATAATTCAAGTGAAGTATCCAAGAATCGATATCAGCGGTATTTGTGCGTGGTCGATTTGGCTCCGTTTCTCGACGGTGTCATGCCCGGAGTGGTGAGGACTCGGGAGTTAATCTGTTTGAATGAGTTTAAGATGGCATGCGGGAGCTGCTGTTAACTAGCATATTTGATTTGGTTTGGTGTGACGTTTGTCAGTTGGTCCGCGTTGACAGCCAGGATGCTCTCCAACATGGCCCACAGACCGTGGCAGGTCTTCTGCAGGGTGTCCTGGAGTCACAGATCGAGGTTCCCTCAGCCGTGCCTTGGTGAGCCGCCACCCCACGCACACGCGCGCGCACACACGCACACCCACATACACAGGCTGAAGAACCTGTCGTGATTACTTGGAACTTTGATCGATTTGCTTCTTAATGTTTACGTCTGGCAGGTTGGCAAACAGTGGGCATGTGTAACTCGTGGTCCAGACCCCTGGACTGTCGAGCTGCTTCGCTGGCAGTGGTCAAGGTCCACTTCTACTCTACCTTTGGAAACAGGAAAGATGGACCTCCAAGATTGCCGTCGGATCCAGCTGAAAAAGTGGCTGCAAAACCCAACATAAACACACCAGGTGACATCACTGGTTCTCATTTTTTTACACTGTTAAGAGCAATATACTAGTATAACAGGCCCAAGTCTTCAAAATGTGAAAAGTACAAATGCGATGTGATTAAAAACTTTGATAATTGATGTGTAAAACAAATATGATTAACAGCAGTTGCTTTTATATCTTAACAAATCTGTCTTTTGAAATACTTTTTTTTTTCAGTCTTTTTTTTTAATACGTTTTTAACTTGTAATGAGACAGAATGGACACCGTGTGCTACTTTTGTATTTATTACTCTAATAGGTTCTCCACTTAAGGGGCTCACCAAAGCAGAGACCATTCAAGTGAAAGGTAAAGTGAAATCTACTATCTGTCTGATTTTTCCATTTAAAGCCATTCAACATTCCACTTATACAGTACTCTTATAACGTTCAAAACAGTTTAGTACCCTTTAATTAGATACTTTGATGCATTTTTCAAAACATATTCATATGCTGTGTGTAACAGAATGTAATCAACTGAGAGCCGGTATATATTATATCAGTCGTAGTATCATGATGTGTTCATTTAGTCAGTTTTTGGATTCTATTACCTTTTGGTCAAACAACAAAAATGGTCCTGTTTTTTTTTTTTTTTTTTTTATGGACAATGATGATATATGTACCGTATATTGCACCGTATATTTATGTCAATGTGTATATATCTCAATTAGCACGCCATGAAAGATGGCGCACTTAAAAAATTATCCCTCTTTATGATGCTTTTCATTCAAGGTGAGATATTTGTCGGTGTTTAACCGTCTTGCGTTTAAACAATAAAATTGAAAAAAAAACATTGACAAAGAACAGGCAGCGTTTGCAGGCTGCAACGTTCATACTTGTTGCTTCTTATACCTGAGTCAAACTGACTATATGCAAATAAATGGTAAACAAATAATAAAATAATTCAAAAGCCCCTTACCACCACGTTGTTGTGCTCGAAAGATTTATTGATTTCTCGCCATGCTGTTTGTGAAACCCTGCATTAACCTGTAGTGCTTGCAAACATGCATTAGTCTTGTGCTCATGCTGAACAATCTGAATATGGATCTGCGCCCGTTGTACGTTAATGGATAGCCACTTCCTGCACATGTCCGAACTCTTGTGCTTTATCCATCCACAAATTCTGGTTTAATAGTTTTTGTTTCATTCTTCCCAGCAAACAAACCCGTGAAAATGTAAACCTGCACAATGTCTCTCGTTCTGAATTCAGTCCGGGCTGTCCTGAAGAAGCGCGAATATGGCGCAAAGTACACACAGAATAATTTCATCACGGCCGTCCGAGCCATGAATGAGTTCTGTCTCAAACCGAGGTGAGTTCATGTTCAGCAATCCACATTCCTTTTGTGTTAACGAGTGACCGTTCCGCTGCGATTAGCAACTAACAAGAAGCATCGTTATCTCACACAAGCGTTTCTGCATTTTCGTCATGTCTCGCGGGCTTGCAGTGACCTGGAGCACCTTCGCAAGATCCGAAGGCGCAGCCCCCACGATGACACCGAGGCCTTCACCGTGTTCCTGCGCTCGGATGTGGAGGCAAAGTCAGTGTTTATCCTTTTGGATAAAGTTGTTATTCATTAATGATGTTGCTCTGATTCATTTATTTATCTCTCGGCCTATTTAGAGCATTGGATGTGTGGGGCAGCCAAGAAGCTCTGGCCAGGGAGAGGAATCTACGGAAGGAAGTGGAGAGAGAGTACCAAGAAAGTAGGATTATACTTGGTTGTGTATTTCCTGTTTACAGTGTTTATAATATACACTTAACACATGCTGGACTTAACTGCTCTCTTTGCACAATATGTATATTAGTTTTATCAGACTTCAACCAAATGTAGTGATTATGTGGATCCCCCCCCATTGTAGGCTAAATGTGGGTGTGCGTGGCTGTAAAACTGCTATTTTGACTCTTTGCTTTCCTGCACTGTAGTCTTTCGAAGACTCCTCATGGAAACAGTAAAGTATTCCTAGTCTGAACATTTTAGTAAAACAGTGTGATACTACCGAGAATAAATCATTTCGAAAAACATGACATACTTTTTAAGTTCTCACATGACACAAAAAGAATAACAATGAACATCATTGGAAAACTGGCTACTTTTAGTTGCACCTATTATTTTGGTAGTGGATGGTCAAAACTGTTACATTATATTTCTTATCGTAAATACGTATTATTTATAACCATTTAGAATTGTTAATTTCAAAATTCCCACACACAGCTTCTCATTAGAATAAAGAAAACACCAATTATGACATAAAAGAGGCCATGGAACTTCCAGTACTTTGGAGCGATGCTCTCGACAATACAAATTCATGTGAAATGAAAATGGTCTTCTCTAAATCGTTTCCTCTCTTCTTTTCTTATCCTCCAGATATCTTTCGTAGTCAGCAGCTGTTGAAGGAATACAAAGACTTCTGGGGAAACACAAGGGTACCAATGTTTACCTTCACTGGACTTTTACAGTAATTGTACACTTTCAAAATCTAATAAGGTCCATTTTAAAGGTCAGTTGTGAAGTAAATTTGGCCCAGCATCTTTTGAGTAATACTGAGGGCTGAAACAAATTTTTACGCAACCCACACAGGTTCGTAGTTAGACCCATAGCAACACGCTAAACAGCGAAAATGCTTTTGTCCAGCAATCTCCGGCGAGTGACATCATTTTTACAGAATGCGGAGTCGCCTGTCAGCCTTTGTAAAGTATTGTTGAATGTCCCGTGAGCTGCTCTTTGCTATTGTTCTCGAGTTAATCAGCGAAATACCTTGACGCTGCCTGGCGGTGCACTGGACACATTCAGGCAAACAGTTGAGTGGCCAAAAGAAAAGAATACAGTCTTATACATGTTACATGGATGTAATTCTGTATGAAAACATTCAAATTAAATGAGTGCATGGATGAAATCCACTGTAATGGTTTACAACTAACAATATTGCCGATGTAATGTACTGAGTGGCCGACAACACAACAGAACTACCTTAGCGATGACAATGTAGGACACAAACCCACTATGATTTGCGCTCTCAGTGCTAGCGGGAATACATGGACAGACAAGGTAATCTCATCATGCGCAATTTACAGCACAGCATCGAATTGCAAACAATAAGGTTAATAACCGCAGTCACTATAGATTACCGTTCCGGACCGCACCGTCTCCACTCCATGTCCGGCCGTTCAGGCACATTTTCCGCATCCTGAGCATCTGCCTCGTACACATACGGTATAGTCCAACAACCTCCTCTTCAACACCCTCAGCTAAGTTTGAAGCGTCGCTTTCCAAATCAATTTCCGAGTGGCTTTGTACACTTTCCATAGTGAGCCCAGCTATTGTTGTCTCAAAGTGACGTCACGTGCAGGTTTGACACTCATCAGGATCTCACTTCCGGAAAATGAGTACTTTGTCTAATTTACTGAATAGAAATTATTTTCTCATGCTTCATTTAATATATTTTGTTTAATTACTTTGCATGTGACAAAAATATTTCGTTTGGGATATTCTAATATTACTTCACAGTTGACCTTTAAGAGTTCTCTCAATAATTTTGCTTTTACAAATGAATGTCATTGTTGATTGAGGGTGATGTAGACACTGAATCACAAAGAGGTATCAGTATTTTTGTATTGTAGTGACCTAGAGAGGGACAAACTCAATTTCAGTATGTTTTGTGTATCTAGTTGAACAGCAAATTCTAACCTTATCAACTTAATATTTTACTTCTGTTCTCCTAAAGCCTCGATCAGGCAAAAGGACAACATTTTTACAGGGTCCTGGCAAAGTGGTCATGGTCGCCATTTGTATGTAAGTGAAGAAGCGTTATTTTTTCCTTTATTTATTTATTCAAAATTTTTGGATGTAAATGCATGTGTGATATTTCTGACTATGAATTAATGTGTGGTATTTGCTTTTAGCGCTTTGTAGTTAATCTAGTGAAAAGTTTAAAAAAAAAGATTGGGAAACTTGTGTCTCATGAGGTCTTGTGGTGTACTCAATTAAGATGATTGCGTTAGAGGACACGTGCAGTCACATGAAGTTTTCAATGAGTGCAATGGGGAAAAAAAGGCTCAACTCTGCAGATTGTTATTAGTTCTTTAGATGCTCTCTAAACTAATGCGATGTCACACTTGATGTGAACTCAGTTTGCTTGACTTTTGGTGTGTTTGACCTTGGAGGTTCCTCTGTAGAAACACTAACCCTCGTTCTGCCCCAACAAAAATTACAAACAATATGTTAGTAAAGGGCTGGGTGATTTTATATATTAACTTAGGTTTATTTTTCAGGAGGACATTTTTTCCTTTTGTGCAAAGAGCCAGAGGATTATAGACGATAAAACAAACGATCTAAATAATGTAATTTGCTTTTTCTAAAAGCAGAGGGGAAAAACCTAATAAAATTGTAAATTAGATTTTTCTGATTCAACATTTGAAGTCAAAGATGACTTTTGCCAGTTTGTTTTTCATTTTTTGTCCACTGACCTTTTTTTTTCTTGTGTTTCGTGTGCAGAAATGGGCTGAACTTCTTTTTCAAGCTGCTGGCATGGGTCTACACAGGTTCGGCGAGCATGTTTTCCGAAGCCATCCATTCCTTAGCAGACACCTGCAATCAGGCTCTGCTGGCTCTGGGCATCAGTCAGTCGGTGCGGAACCCTGACGCTGGGCATCCGTAAGCCTTCTATATGTCTCTGTCATGATGAGAGGATGTAGAGGTGGTCACAGAGCATCAAACTACAAAGAGTGTGCGTGTGATTGCTCCTTCAGGTACGGCTTCTCCAACATGCGCTACATCGCCTCCCTCATTAGCGGCGTGGGCATTTTCATGATGGGTGCCGGTCTCTCCTGGTATCATGGCATCATGGGACTGCTGCACCCGGAGCCTATTGAGTCTCTATTATGGGTGAATGTCCAGTCAGACTCCCTACCTCTCATACAAGTAATACAAAAAGGGAAATAAAGATCTGTGCTTTCTTTATATGACAGGCATACTGCATTTTGGCAGGTTCTCTGGTGTCTGAAGGAGGTATGTCACAGATGTTCAAATGACAGTGAACCCCTGCTATTCTTGTAGGATAGGAACCAAACCTGCCACTAAGTGAGAACCCACAAACGCAGACGTCCCTTGCTCAGTTCTTGACAAATTGCTAGGCAAAAACCACTTCTGAGAGAGAACATGAACTAAAGAGACCAAAAAACGATGAGGACACAGTTAAAAGTTAAATGACCATCTTTATATTCTTTATTTTTTGTTTTTTACATTATGCACAACTCTCATTTATTGTGCAATAATCCAGTTTGTAACATGTATTTGTGACATATTTTGATGCATTTTTATGCTTTAGAAAACATTTATGTCTGAATTTTGGGGGTCTTGGAACGTATTAGGGCATTTACATGTAAAACGTCTCTACTTTCAACATTTTCTCGTGAAGAAATTTCTTCCGGAACTGATTACAGTAATTTCATAAGTAGAGGTACCACTTTATTGCTTTGGGCTGATGTATTTACTGTGATCTGCAATAACACAGACAAAAATATTCAGCAAAGCAAAACTCAGACATACAATGATAAATGTTAAAGGAATATAGACAAAGTGTTAACACCAATCTGTTTGTAGCTGCAAAAACGAACTTTTCTCAAGGTGCATTCAAAGACCACTAATGAAACGGGACATCTCTCAGGTAGATGAAAAAAAAAGTGCCATGGATAAATTAAACCTAACCCCAACTTGAGGTGGCCATCGGATGGTGCCAAAGTAATACTTTTATTGTTTTGGCCTGAGTGCATAGATTGCGAATAGGGGACGTTTTTCAGCAAAAAAAACATCTGCAAAAAGGTGAATATCAAACCACAAATATGCGGGGGTTCACTGTACTGAAATTCTCTGCTCCATGTTTGGTTTTGTTTCATTTTGTTTGTTGTGCCATCAACAGCCACCCTACTGGTAGCCATCAATGAGATAAAGAGAAGCGCCCAAAACCACGGACTCTCCTTTTATGAATATGGTACGTAGCAATTCAAGTCCCGTATTTCTGTAAATGTATTCAACTTCAGACGATCAATTTCTAGGGGGAGACCTTCCTTGAACACGTTCAGAAGACTATTAAAAATGACCAAACACGTTATAAGGACTAATTGACATTCCAGCAAGCAACAGGAACCAAGGCAGACTGAATTGTGCGAACAACAAATTGTGACCGCACATAACATTGTGACCTTACCTATTCACTGACGTAATTAATTAGTTACATTTGTCTAATACATGACTGATTGGGACATGGTGTATAAATGAATGACGGTATGTATGCCTGATATTTGTCTGATTTGTCCTACATTTGCTAACAGTAACTAGAAAAATGGCAGTCTGGTGCAGAAGTCTCCCAAGGCTGAACCAAAATGGCATATTTCATTCGTTAATATACATTACCAAAATAGAGCCAAACAACTTAGTGCAAAGTACATATATCCTTTCTCTGAAGACATTTTACCTCCCTATGTCTGAAATAAATCTGGCTATCGCAGCCTAATTTGAATTGTAAAGGGACACCACCCCCCCCCCCACCAACAAAATAAAAAAGATAGTAATGAATTAAACTAAAGGCATATTTTGTGCACAGTAATGCAGAGCCGAGACCCGAGCACCAACGTGGTGCTACTTGAGGATACCGCTGCCGTGCTTGGTGTCATTATGGCTGCGGGCTGCATGGGACTCACGTCGCTCACAGGTAAATGGGAAGTCATTCTCACATTAACACAGTTCATACGAATTATAATAAGTTGAACCCTGGAATGTGAGTGTATGTATAATATCAGATCTAATAATCACTTTTGATTTAATTCTCATTTATCAACCTCATGACCCTCAGGAGCTGATGCGCAGTTAGTTGTTTTCACACGTATGAGCTTTGATCTCTAATTCCCTCTCTGACTTCATTCCTGTGTCGTGTCTTGGGTTTTCCGCAGGTAATCCATACTACGACAGTCTGGGCTCGCTGGGAGTGGGAACGCTGCTTGGCACAGTCTCGGCCTTCCTTATCTACACCAACACGGAGGCACTACTGGGACGCTCCATACAGGCGGAGCGCGTGCAGAAACTCACAGAGTTCTTGGAGAACGACCCCGCTGTGAGGTCAGCAGCTGTTTCATTTTGTATCAAAATATCAAGAGCAGCATTCTCCACCCCCTGGGCTGTGGGATTTTTAATAACGGGCCGCAGATAAAGTCTGGGAAAAAATGTTTTATTGATCATCAGTCTGAAAATAAATTTGATTTCTAAAATCAGGTGCACCCACCTGTGCCTCTGTTGTATATTCAACCACCTTCTGATATGGTGGATAAAAAAAGTAACTCCATCAGCTAAAATACTAAAAAAAAAAAAAAAAAAATTGAAAAAAGTGTGGTTAAAACGGTTTATGATCCAACAGAAGAGCAGCTAACAATTTCAAGAAAAGGAAGCCGCATTCAAGCTACAATAAAATCAGCCCTACCTTAATAGGTTTCCGGCAGCAAGCCCGCTATGAGTAAGCACAGGCTCGCAAATGATCTGCCGAAGGCTTTTCAAACAGTTGATCGTTTTCTCATAAATTGGAAGCCCTCCTGCATTGGTTTGTGGGAGCACATTATGGGTTGGTTTGTGAACTACCGATCTTAATGTGTTAAGTTCATACATGGCCCGATGTTTGTAATGACATCCCCCAGGGCTGCATTTTAGTCCCACTTCTATTCTCTCTTCATATTAATAATTTAGGTCATGATATGGATAGTTTTCATCTTTATGCAGATGATATCATCGTTTATTGTGGCAGTCCATCCATCTCAGAGCCTCTTGCCAATTTTTTCTTCTTTTTAAACTTCATGTCCAGAGCCATCCATGATGTGAAAGCCACCGACATGGGACTGAGCAAAGTGCGCTTTAAGGCAGAAGTCGACTTTGATGGCCGAGTAGTGACGCGCTCGTATCTGGAAAAGCAAGACATTGACCAAATCCTCAATGTAAGTCCAACACTTATCACGTTGTATTTGTCACGTTGGGTGCACTCGCACGATTGAAAAGCTGAGGTTCGATGATCATCGGTGTGGGTACGATTGCAGGACATTCAACAGGTGAAAACGCCGGAAGATCTGGAGAACTTCATGCTGAAACACGGTGAGAACATCATTGACACCCTGGGCGCTGAGGTGGACCGCTTAGAGAAAGAACTCAAGGTAAGTGAAAGCTTAAAAAAAGAAAATTCACCAAACATAGCGGTAGCTTGGCTTACAATGATTGATGTAATTTCTATTTTTGCTTTGAGTTGTAAGTTATCTTGTCCCAATCCACCTCCTGATGTAGCTCTCTAAGCCACATCTCCTAAAGGCGCACATCCAACACACATTGTACGATCCATACAGTCATTACCCTTTATAACAACAGTCAATTTCTTTACCATGTCTATTAGGTTTTTCTTAGGACCTATCAGACATGGATTTTAAAAAATCTGATTCCGATATTTGTCAGAAAAAAATTTCAGATAACCGATGATTTAAAAAAATATGTTATATTTAATGGATACAACAACTAATCTTCCCTTAACACTTAGAACAACAAAGAATTACAGGCAGAATACTTGATTGTTTCACAATACGTGGCTCTTTAACAGAGTTGCATTTGAAATGTATGATGTAAAAAAAGATTGGCCGATACCGATTTCGATAACATGGATTAGCTGCACATTTTTAATTGTAGAGCTGTCATTCATGATTATTTTAATAATTGATGAATCTCTCAAATATTTTTTCTGTTCAGTGGTGAATCAGTTTTTAAGAAACAATAAAAAACATTCTATCCAAATTTCAGTCCTTTTATTTGACAAAAACAGGACATTTTTTTTTCAACCCGACTGTGTAGAAAATGCAGAAACATACCCGGTATATTATGATTCAGTCGCTGGCTTGGTGTGTACATTTGCAGTGTGAAGGAAAAGAGGGAAGGGACACTCCACTGCACACAGGCTGGTCTATTGGTCAACATGCTGATCACATACTTTTCCAAGGACATCAGCCGATCACTATCCAGTGGTGTACACTAAGCACAAATATCAACCTTATCAACATATATCCTGTATCAATACATACTAACAGACATTGTGTATTATAGCATACGAAAAGATGCCAAAGGATGCAATTCCCACAGAATAACATTCTGGCTGCCATGCATTTCCTTTCCTTCCTGCCCATAACTGTTGAACAGTGTTAAGGGTTTCATGAGAACGTAAAATCATATTGATGTTTTTTGGGGGGATGCTGGAACGGCTTGATGGTCTTTCGCTAGGGAAATTTGTTTTGATAGGTGAGTAAATTAAGCTTGGTCACGTGACAAATTAAACTTGTAAGTCAAGATACCACTGTGTACCTTTTCAAAATGAGTTGAGTAATAATGTGCGCTTCCTACACAGCAACGTAACCCGGAGGTGCGCCATGTTGACCTTGAGATCCTGTAATAACTTAAGAACCTACAAGATGAAGAAGAGGAAAAAGGACACGCACGTCTGCCTCTGCCGTCTGCCTCCCATTCCCAATGAAAAGTTCTGCCTCCTCACAGGCCTCCGTGCAGGGACGCTTGAACATTATTGTGACAAGTTAATGGTACCAAACAGGTTAAACACTATCACATTTTATGACAGAAGTTCTCCTCCCATTTCAACACAGGAATGACTGTTTTCATTGATGTTTCCTCCCAGATGACTTCACTACATGGCATCATAGTACCAATCAAACCACAGTGTTCAGCCAACCCCTACCTTTTGACACGCTTAATGAAGATTTATTCAGATTTATTACAAATCATACATGTAAAAATTTGTTCAGGTTTAAGTAGTAAATTTTGCATAGCCTGAACTGCAAAACTATATCAAAGCACAGAACTACAGTGTGTGTGTGTGTGTGTGTGTGTGTGTGTGTGTGTGTGTGTGTGTGTGTGTGTGTGTGTGTGTGTGTATATATATACACACACACACACACACACACACACACACACACACACACACCAGTTTTTATATATGGAGTCCATCAGGAAAAGAAATAACCTAATGCTTTCCTCGGTCTGAAAACGTGGACATTCCTCTTGGCAAGATATGTATGAAAATCAGTTTGCCCCATTTGCACTGATGTGTTGCCATTTTTTATTTGAAGCCCAGTTTATAGTTAAGTTTTACTTAAGGCCACTGTCATTTCACGTGAGTTAGTGAGGAGGATGCATAATGAAATATTTGACTTGTGAGAGCGTGCGTGTGGGGAGTCGGGAAGCATATACTGCACTGATGCAGGAGAACAAATTTTTAAAAAATAATTTATTAAATTATTTTGTCTTCTGTTGGTGCTGTCAATGTCCTTTGATTTCAGTTTCTAATCGAATAATGTCACTCAGCCAATTTATAATTGGGAGATTCGTTTAACAGCATATTTATTGTGGTTGTAGTTTGTAGTGGTGTGAAAACTGAACTTCATCATGCTGTGAGCTGTTTAAAATATTTTGTCCATCTCTGTACAGTTTGACATAACTCTAAACTTCATCCACAATCAGTATCCATCCATACATTTTCCACACTGCTTGTCCTCACGACTGAGCTGAAGCCAGTTCCAGCTGGGCGAGAGACAGGGTTCAGTGTGGACTGGTCGCCAGCCAATACCAGTAGTAGGCCTATTAAGTGTCTCTCTCTCTCACACACACACACACACAGAGTGAGGCGATCTTACGTCAGGCTGGGTGGGACTTTACTGTGGCAGGCATAGGTGAATCTGTGGGTGCTGAACTTGTTACCATCCTGTTAAATAATATTGAAAACATTAAAATGGGAACACAATACGTTTTGAAAGCTTTCTTGTTTTTAGCACCTGAATACAGTACATAGTTATAAACTCTTTCAAAAACACGGGAAAAAATACATTTGTGAATACAGTACTTTGCAAGAAATGTGTATGATTATTTAAAGAATATTCTTTTTCAATAGAAGTGTCATGATGTAAAAAAAAAAAAAACATTTTGTAATGAAAGCTCAGTTACAGAAGTTCAAGGTCAACCTGCAAATGTCTTGCCACACTTTATGACTACAGGTATGACTATACATTTCAAAAACCGATGTATAGTATATACATAGGGCTTAGTTAAGATTTAGGCCTGTACAGTATGATGGTTGCCAGCCAATCGCAGGGCACACATAGACGAACAACCATAAGCGCTCACAATCACACCTAGGGACAATTTAGAGCGTTCCATTAACCTCCCGTGTATGTTTTTGGAATGTGGGAGGAAACCGGAGTACCCGGAGAAAACCTACACAGGCACAGGGGAGAACATGCAAACTCCACACAGGAAGGCCGGGACCTGGAATCGAACCCTACACCTCTGCTGTTTGAAAGGGACGTGATGCCGACCGTGCCGCCCAACACGTGACCATTTTTATTTATTCATTCATTCATTCATTCATTCGTAGTGTGATTGAACGTGGCCTTCCAAGAAAAACCTCCAGATGGCACAATTGTCCTTGAAGAGCAGGACGCGCATGGCTCGAGGAGGAGGCGTTGACGTCATTAAAAAATGTCCGAGCCGTCTGCGCATTTTGAACCACCATCGCCAAACTTGACGGTCGCCACGGTAGCTGGACCTCACCACCATTCTCGTTATCGTGTTCCACGCGTCTGCAAATTTTGTCTGTGCGCGCGCGTTCCGTCGTGAGAACAACAGTTTTTTTGCTTTTTTGATGAGACTAGAACGCGTGCGTAAATGCGTCTTGCCGGCTCCATTTTTACGTCATTGACGAGCGTTGGATACTCTCTCACTCTCTCTCTCTCCATCGCCCCCCCAACCCCCATCTGATGGGGGCGCAGTCTCGGTGCACCCCCTTCCACCCATCCCGGCATCCATCACTCATCACATTGCCCGTCAAACCTTCCTCCATCTTCACCATGCAAGGAAGATGTTTTTTTCCTCGACGTGACTACTCTCGTCAGAGAGGAAAACAACAACGTGTTAATGGCGGACCTCTTCTTCCTCCTCTTCCTCACATGCTCTACGCTTTTAGCCTCTTTACGGTGCTGCCTTGTGTGCTCATGTTCAAGCAGCATTGTACAGGGCTATGACAGCATAGAGAGATGGACATCCGTTGGTGACATCATCCCTGTTTTTCTTTCCCAAGAACAGCAAACAAAGACGATTTTTTTGTGTCTCCCCTCTGCTCCCATTTTTTAAGAATGACGACTGGAATATGACCCACTTATGGAAGGAGATGCTGAAACATTGCCGAACCTTATGATAGTATGCTGAGAGCTTGAATGTATTGAGCATCTCAGCTATTTCGTGTACGTTATTTTCCTCAGTGGCTGGAAGGGCACAATGGGCTAACAGAATGCTCGTCTTTCAGCATTTACACACTCCTCAATTGTGTCGAAAATATATATTTTTTTCTGTGTATGCTGAGAGACAAGTATTAATTTTGATTTTGTTTGGGGTAAATGAAAATGTATATACTGGGTGAATGCTGAGAGACAATCATCTACATGTGCTATTTTGGTTACATATAATTTGAAAGACATTCACACTAATAAGCTACTGTGTAAAAAAAAGAAAAATTGGGTTAGATGCTGAGATACTGTCTTTTATGTGAGTACTGAAAGACAAGCATGTGTGAGACCAGTAATTGTTTGCTTTTCTGTGACAGCTGAAAGATTCACAATCTTGTAAAGGCCATTTTGTGTAAATAGTAATAATAATACACAAGTTACACCAGTGTTGTTGTTCCTCAAAAATATTTTCCTGTTTTGTAAATACTGAGAGCCAACACTGACAAAAACAAACAAAATATTTGTAATCAGAGTGCCAAGAGTCATGCATTCACCCTAACAGTCTTGCTTGCCCAAAAATACTTGTTGCAAATACTGAGAGACAAGTTCAACCGATATTTCACTGTCTTTTGGTTGTACATAAGACAATGAATGCAGAAAAAAAAGAAAAAGCATTTCCACTAATGCTGTTCATATTTTTTTATTGTGCAAATGCTGAAAGACAAGTATTTGCATTAATACTTTTTAGCCACAAAGCACCTAACTCTTCATCCAACTAGATTAATGTCATCCCTGAATTACTCCAGCCACAAAATAGGAAATTTTCGTATGGTATGTGATGGTTGCGATGTGATGTATTAGCTCTAACGTGATGTGATTTCTATGATAAATTGATAACAGAAGCTTCTTGTTTCTTTAATGTAAATCACATATTGAACAAACGCACAAAACGTAAAGTACATGTTTCATTACAAAAAATGTTTTCACAATGGCAAATGAGTAGGAAAGTCATTTTTGGGGTGGGGGTCCCTGGAAGAGAAGAGATGTGTTCAGGCACTTCACATGCTTATTTGCTCACTGGCTGCAGCTCCCACAAGGCCGCAATCCATTCTCGTTACAGGAAGTGCACTTGAGGGCTTTGAAGGAGTCCGTGAAGCAGTTGCGGAACACAGACATTTTGCTGCCATGGCACGTCGGGCACGGGACGAAGGCGAAGCCTCCGCAACTCTGGCACGTCTCGGGGTACTGCACCCTCTGTAGGGAAGACCCGTAAAATATGTCTCCAATTTATTCGGGATCATGGCACGCTCAACACACACTGTCCGTTCATTCGCGATACCACCATTCACAATTTTCTCTGTCGAACCCAACAAGTATTTGCTGAACCACATATTTTTGTGTTATTTCTGTAACAGAGGAGGAAGAAACTGTACTATTCTGTACTTAAGTAAAATTTTGGATTTTTGTGGGAAAAAAAATCTACTCTGGTGTCAATGAAAATACTTATTTCACTCTGTAAAGTAAAAACAAATTTGTAAATTTGACACACCACAGGGATGAAGAGTATTGTTGAAAACCCTGCAAAATTTGAATTACTAATATGTTAAGTGTAAATAGTGAGGCTTCAAGTTTATGAAAAATCAGACTTTTTTCTGCTCTTGAACTCCATGTTCATTGAATACGTTTTGATTACCGCTTTCAACTGACAATCAAATACTTGTACTAAGACCTGGAAAAGTGGATGCTACTTCAACTTAAATATTTCGTAAACCAATGTAATCCAGATTCAAATCTATTTTAATTAAGAAATAAAACCTACATTTAAAGCAAATGGGGAAAAAGAGACTAAGATAATTATATCTTTTTTTTTTTTCCGAAAAATCGAATTTTCACAAGTGCAATAGATGGCATCGTTTCATTGACCAATAAGAAGCACTGTATGTTACGTTCAGCCTGTGGTTGAGAGGTCAGTTTAGGTTGGCTTTCGGGTCTTCCCGCTTCTTTTGCAGAGTTACGTGACGCAGCTATCATTGTTAGCATGAAACAGTTTTGAAAAGTTGGTCCAAACGCTGGTTGGACAGGAGTTACATATCGAGGAACATTTTTTCCCCTTTTCTATTTCACTCACGTTTCTCAAACATTTCTTCATATATTTATGATCACACAGGGACAAGTGAACTGTCAAGATTTACTAAGGGCCCCAACTATTAAGTTTCAAAGACTGAACTTTTTTTCCTTCTTCTTTTTGCTGCGCACATTTTTTTTAATGTATTATTTTTCATACCAATTGTTTTTTCTAATTTTTGAAACTATATATGCAACTGTTAATCTGTGTTGCTCAAACGTATGGCTCTATAAGAATCTGGGTTCTTCTGATGCTTGTCCAAATTGTCTAAGTTCCAGTTGATAGACTCATAACACTGATTTCTTACTTAAACTGCTTAGCGGGTTACACCTACACATAATTACATATTTTGAGCCTCTGCTGGTTGGAATATATCCTATTGGTTTGCCGAAAGGCTTTGCCACTTGGCCACAACGAGGCGCTCTAAAGGGGCCAGGCCAGCTCAAATCTCCAGCCCACATGCTTTCTGTCACTGAGTTTTCAAAAAAAAAAATCCTTGTACTCTCAATCAAATCTCTGTGCTGGACAGACACCTAAATCTCAGCATTTCGAATAAAATATATCAAATCACGTACATGATAGAAGTGTGTACAACAATGTACTGTGTTGTGCATTGGAGTTGGGGAGTTAATGTGTTGGGAGCCAAGTCAACAACAGGCACTCCATTATTGATGGTCACTTATTGGCTGTGCTAATCTTTTACACTGCTCATGTTTTATTGATGACACGTGTGTGTACGTGTGCATATGTTCAGATTTGAAAACTAACCTCAATTTTTGTCAAAAGATCTTGTAGTTCTCCTGATTCATTCATGCTCAGTATCTTCTCAGCACCCTGAAAGAAAATACAGTTGTATAAAATGCATAAATCAGAAATACTGAGGAAAGTGTGTGATGTCAGCAAGCCAGTTTTGGACTGGGGTTACAAGATGAAAGCGCTTGATGTGTCCTGTGAGCTCAAGTAGTGCCATTTTGAAAGGCAATTTTGTAAAACGGCAAACGGGACTATTTTGTGTCTCAGGCTTAGGACCACGCTCAGTGCATTGAAAAAAAAAATCTATTTTGAATTATGGAATGTGCATAAAACAGAAATGTGTGTGTAATTTTACAGACTTGAGAACAAGTTTTGCTCTATCTGTCACTTTAAATGAATAACTTATGCATGTCATTTTATTGTGTTAGCAATTGGACTAAACTGAACATGAATTTGAAATGACAAAACATTAAATTATTGCATTCACCACTATGGGTGCATAACAGTGGCACTCACTCGTTTAAAATATATTAGACACTGGTAATTCTATTACAACAATAAACAAATAGAACAATAAAAATGATGGGATCTAAGAATACTGCATCCATGTGAAAATGGCAGAAATATCGCAGATATCAAAATTTTTCCCTGAGGTCTGGGCGTGGCCATAGCCACCCTGGAGCTCCGCCCCTGAATACAAGCAATATGAGTGTGAATTACAATAAACAATATCAGATGTATTTCGAATAAATGGTTTGGTCCGACAGGTTTGTCTTATGCTAAAATAACAGTGAACCATGAATTAGTATTAAAGACAGTTTATTCATCTGGTTCCATTAGAATTGTTTATCGACAAAACACTTGCAGTCTTTTAAGCCTTCACCATGACACCTTAACAAAATTCTACCAAACAAGTCAGGCGTAAACGTGAGTCAGTAAGTCATGAATCGGATTACAGTTATTGCAACCGAGAATTGGCCATTATCACTTTAACTTTTCATGTTTCATGAAACAATGATATTTAAACATTGTGGACTGCACTGAACTTATTTACACACACACTCTATATATATATATATATAATGTACAGGTATATTAAGGTACTAATACTAATAATTGCACTCCCACCACAAAGGTGTCCCATATGTAAAACACTGACCCCAAGGTAGTGTCCGTCTATGAAAACCACAGGCAGCGATGGAGGCTCTCCCACCCGCTTGCAGCGCTCCGCCAGCTCCTTGCCGTAGTCGCTGTCCAGAGCAATGTTCCTCTCCACAAACTTCAGCCTGTGGTTCTGGAAGATCTTGCGCACCAGCTCGCAGCGCTCGAATGTGGTTCTCACCACACGGAAGCTGGTGGTGTAGATCACCATCCGACCAAACTCCAGCAATAACTCCACCTGAGGACAAGATGAAGGTTGTCATTTACAAATTATGTTTTGTTTCACCTGTGTGCTGCCATGTGTTTCATTCTGGAAAAGCAAGGATCTCTCAAGGGTGCCAAAGGTATTTCATTGCGCGCCACTTGATTTCTCTCAGAGGGATGGACACGACTCATAATTTATTGCTTGATGAACATTAAAAGAAAAATCTGACTTTTACACTAAGTATGTGTGTGTGTGTGTGTGTGTGTGTGTGTGTGTGTGTGTGTGTGTGTGCGTGCGTGCGTGCGTGCGTGCGTGCGTGTGTGTATTTACTGTATATATACTGTATATGGTTAGCGTGTTGACCTTACAGCGCAGAGGTTCAATTCCAGCTCCGGCCTCCCTGTGTGGAGTTTGCATGTTCTCCCCAGGCCTGTGTGGGTTTTCTCCGGGTACTCCGGTTTCCTCCACATTCCAAAAACATGCATGGCAGGCTGATTGAACACTTTAAATTGTCCCTAGGTGTGAGTGTAAGCGCAGATGGTTGTTCGTCTCGCTGTGCGCTGCGATTGGCTGGCAACCGGTTCAGGCTGTCCCCCACTTACTGCCTGAAGATGGCTGGGATAGGCTCCAACATATATACATACATTCGAGGTAATGCTCTTGGGTGGAGTTTGCATTTACAAAACTGCCACTGTAGATGAGAACATCTACAGAACTGGATGGATGGATTTACATCTATTTATATTTCCAGACTAGCATTAATATTTTATTTATCCTACAATAAATTTGATTGGAGGGTGCTGATTCAAATACACCTTTCAAGCCATTGCTGAAGGTCAGCTCGTTACCCAGTGCCATTCAAGTTACAATAAATTCCACTCACAGCACTGGCGTGCTGCGAGAAAGTTTGTTGTGTACTGGAGCTACTTGTCTGGCAAGCATAAAAGGCCGCAACAGAGGATAAGGTCAGCACGGAATTAAAGATTAATGATACATTCCAGTAAGTGTGTCAAGAAAAACTAATCAGGGTAATGAATTCTCAGCACTTTGCGTTCTGTTGTAGCGGGGCAGTGTACAAAGAGCACCTTGTTGCTGGGAGCGGGACACGAGCTGAACAGACAGCTGCGCGTTTCATTGCTCAGGAGAATTAGCGATATGCAGACTAACAGTGGGATTATCTTTGTTTTAGTAAAGAATTGTTACACTTTTCGTGTACCCACTATATTGTCAATATGTATCACGTCGTAATCAAAATCCTTGTTTTTGCTTTGTACTGTAGATCGGAAATCAGGTAAAACGGTTGGCCTGGTGGCTAACACGTACAGCAGATATAAAAAGTCCAGGTTTATGTGAACAAAATAAACAAAATAAGACTATGATAAATAATTTCAATTTTCGACCTCAATTGGAAAAAACCTCATGAAAAGTAATGTAATGCACCCACTTATAACTGGAGATGTCACTGTGTTCAGAATGAGCCAATCAGATTGAATTGTATATTCAACATGAGTCAGCACAAACCTGCCACCATTTGAAGTGCTTCTGATTATTACCAAATAAAGTTCAGATGTTCTAGTAGGCTTTTCCTACTTGTAACTTTTTATTGAGATTGTAACACTGGTTAAGAGTATGTTTAGCTTAAAAATAAAGAAATACCATAAGTCTTCAAGGATAAAATGCAGTAGTTTAAAGCAGTGCTTTAAGTGGGCCGGTATGCAGTACTTCTATCAGCCCGTCTAAATGTTATCCTCGGTGTACTGGTACTTCAAATGAACTCTTTCAGTAATTTTATTTTATTTTTTTAATGAAAAAGGATATTTTTTTTCCTGCCACCAACAGTTCATGTGGTGTGTGCACCATCAATTAGACATGTTAAGCAAGTTGCAAACATACTCATATCATAACACGCCACAGATGTAAAGGCTAAGATAATAACAAAAGCTTACTAAAACAATACCTTGATGACAATGCATTAGCCTAATTGGCTTTTATTTTGAAGCTGGCCTGTGTGGTGGAGTAACATTCGCCTGACTTGTCTTTTTGACATTTCGGCTTGCCTTATCACAATTTTTATTGCCATTACCTAGTTGTTACCAATACTAACACAACACCTTCCCGAAATCTTGTTCACTTGCTAATTTAGGACCTTTAGAAACCGCAAGTTAATTACACCATCATTGTACTGTATTAAGTGGCCTAAGTCCCCACTCTTCGCAGGCCAGCAGCCGGCCATGAGCTGCTAGCAACGAGTGTTCGGCTGGCAATAGCAAGTAGTCTGATGGCTGTTGCTTTGCTTTATTGCTTTTATTTTTAAATGATGTGTACATAGGATGGTTTGCAATTCACTTTCCGTGTTTAAAAAGGATGTGCCATAAATTGCACTTTGAGGTATTTTTCATTTGTGGGCTATGAATAAAATAAGAAGGTATCCTGCCTTGTATTCCACTCAAAGCTATGCTACTAAAATCTAAATGGCTATATTTCACATTTTGTGGTGATATTTTTTAAATGGGCAAATTGTATCTTTATTTCTTCATTTTCTTTTGCTGATAAAAACAAAAATTTTAACTGATACGCGCCACACGCCTGTCCCTTGCAAAGCAGTCTCACTCATCGAGTGTGTGGCAGAAAAATGTTGAAAACCTTTCACCACATGAATCAGGGGTGGCCAAACTCGGTTGTCAAGGGCCAATGTGCTGCCTGTGTTCCATCTCCTGCTGAAATACACCTGATTCAAAGGATCAGCTCCTCAGCACCTCTGAAGAAGCAAGATTACGATCCAGATCATTTCAATCAGGTGTCTTTGTAGCAGGCAGAGATGGAAAACAGGCAGCACATCAGCCCTTGAAAACCGAGTTTGGACACAACCTGCCATAAACGTTGTCATCGTTCCAATAGGGCCCAAAGAGAACTCGCACTGGTGATAAAGAGGGTGATAACGACACACATTAATCTTGCAAGTGAAGAGGAGCTAGCTAACAGTAACATTAGTGCTTCTGAGTCTTTTGTTACTGGCGATGTCAATAATATTTGCACAAATTTATTCATCAATTAATCAATTCATCTTCTGTTATCCACCACCTAATTTACTTGGCAACAGTCGAATAAGGGGAGTACTTATGTACAGTGGGTGCTTTGAGGCGAGCTATGGCTATTTTTTAAGAAATCTTGCCAAGTCACACTTTCCTGTTGAAAGGCCCTTTGAAATTTTGTGAAGGTGACAAGCAAAATCTATAAAAGTCAATTTTAACACTAATACCTTAAGCATACCTCTTTGCATAGTGGCGGACCTCATTGCATAGTGGCGGACCTCATTGCATAGTGGCGGGCACACACACACACACACACACGACCTCGATGACATTCAATTAAAACTGAGTATTATTGTCTTTAAAAAAAAAAAAATTATAAAAAGGAATTCCTGACACGGCACGGCTGATTTTGGACTGTGCATGTGTACCTAATGGACTGGCCACTACATGGAAATGAGTCCAGATATTTTTCCTCGGTAGAAACGGTTGTTGTCATCAGATTAGAGTCACTTTAAGAAGCTCCCAAAACAACACTAACAACCGCCCACGCACGCACGCTCGCACACACACACACACACACACACACACACACACACACACACACACACACATACACGCTGCATGCACGCACGCACACACGCACGCACTCACGCACACACCAGTGAAAATAACCCATTGGATTGCCTCTGACATAAAACATACATTATTATAGAGGAGTGACAATAAAGATTCTAATTCTAAATTCTATATGGATATTTAAAAAAAATACAGATTTGCATGGCACAATATGGCATTGATGAACTTTCACTTCCTCTAGTTGCGAAATCCTTGAAGAGACATCTATCTGATAATGCACGAAGTTTATGGATTTGAACCAGCATATTATTATTACTTTTTTGTAATTATCATTTTATCTCTTTTTGAAATGTAAATGTTAATTAAATTAAAATAAGGTCATCAATACAATGAAAAGTGTGCGTATTGCCATAAAAAAATGTCTGCAATGCCAAAAATTCTTGATATAAAAACTTTCAGTTTAAAGGAAACAGGTGCATTTTTTTAAGTTCCCCATGCAGGGTGGTAATAAGCAAGACTTACACTGTTGCAATGGGAGAGGTTTTCAAAGAGCGTCTGACCCGCGCTGACTTTGTGCTTGACCCCTCTTACAGTGCCATTCTTGCTGAGGATGTTGACCCTTTTGGAGGTGAACGTCCGGTCCTTGGCAGCCCCGGCAGCGTACACCAGTAGCTCGTCAGGTTCGCTTTCACTGTCATCCAGCTCAGACCCCAAGTACCCGCCATAGGGGGCCCCGTCCCCGCTGGTCGCCGAGCTGCTGGTGCAGTCTGAGTCGAGCGAGTCGCAGGGCCCCTCGTCTTTGAACATCTCCTTTAGCACGCGACCGCTGCTCCCCGAAGCCACTCGAAACCTCACCCGCTTCAGGGTCTTGGCCTGACCCTCCACCACCGTCCCGTCCATTTTGGAGCGTCCCTATGTTCCACTTGACATCACGGTGCACAATTTGGCAGGGCGGCCCCCTCCTTCTCGCTCCGAGTTGAGTTTGCCATGGATTTACCAGCGCCTATTAATCCGATCTAAAAAAGGGCCGCCAGCCTAAGCTGCCTTCAAGTCACACTCAGCTGCTATTCAATTATGCATGTGCTGTTGCCACGGCAACCCGGCCGGCAAGGTAAGGCGATCGCGTTGCGTGCATTATGCATCTGGTTTTTACACAGTTTTCACCCAAGCTTTGACACACGACTTTTAATGGACTGCCATGGTGCACTTTAATCAAACCAGTGAACATCCTTGACTTTGACCCCACCTGCCTCCAGCAACATATCATTCGAAGAACAAATATATCAGGGCCTGCCAAGGTTTGGGGATTTTGAATACAGGCAGATGGGTCAGATTATTGGGAGATGAGGTTAAAAAAAGAGAAAGAAAGAAAGAAAGAATGAAAAGAAAATATTTTTAATTAGTTGCTGGCAAACTGAACTCACTTCACAACAACCAGCAGTTTGGAAGATGACCAATCCTTTGAAAGAGGCTCCAAGGCATTTATTGCCACTTCCAGTTTAAATTCACTGCCAAATTAAACATGAATCAAAGAAAATTACACATAGTTTGCCTTTCGCTAGCTATGATGCCAACAAACAATGCAAAGCATCATAGAATAATTCATGAAACTAGCATCGATGTTCCAATAGTTCCAACCCTTTTAGCAATGGTTATTTGAACACAAAGGTACACAGGCAATCCTCATAGGTTCAGTGGACCTACCCCAAAATTCTTGAACTTATTATTTTTAACTAAAACAAACAAATAGACAAAAAAAACTAAAAATAAAATAATATTAACTTTTAACTATTAACATTAGATACTGTATTTATTTTAATTTGCATTCAGATCAATTGTACATTTATTCTTTAAATATGCAATTAACATTAAATTTTTTAAAAAGAGTCTCAAGGAGTCTCAGAATAGTGCATCCATGTGAATATGGCAGAAATATCATATTAAAATGTGCTCCGAGGTGTGGACCGGGAGGGGGCGAGGGGGCAAAGAGTGACAAGGGGTAGCCATGTCTACTCCTGGCCACCATGTAGCTCTGCCCCTGGCTGTAACAGCTTGCTGGTAAGGGTTTTTCTATTTCATTGGGGAATGATGATTTGGGACCTACTGTTTTGTGTTACTAGCATGGTCATGGAACAAATTAAGTCTGTATTATTATTGAATAAACTACATTAATCCCTGCGATTGGCTGGCAACCAGTTCAGGGTGTACCCCACCTACTGCCCAAAGACAGCTGGGATAGGCTCCAGCACGCACGCCCACAACCTTTGTGAGGATAAGTGGGTTGGAAAATGGATGGATGGATGGATAAAATACATTAGATGCAAGTGTAAAATTATTTTTTTTCAAATATTTTTCTTATTCAAACTGAAATAAACTGAAGAAATATTTCAGGACTGGTGATAACGTATATGCTTGCTGGGCCAGACTAAATACCAGAATGGGCCACCCCTGGATTTTAGCAATGACTCAATGAGAGAAATACACATCACAAAAAAGCAAAACACTTTGGAGTGTCCAGAGGTGTTTTGCTTTCTTGTAAGTTGTGTTGAGAATGTGATGTCACAGCAGACTAATGGAAACATGTGATGACAAACATACAACAGGATGTTGCATGCGACCGTAATGGAAATAAAGCACATCAGGTAGCTACACGTGATCGAATAATAAAGTCTCTGTCTTGGTTAAGCTGCATGAGGCTCAGTGCCCAAGGTTATCTTTGTAAGTCTGTCTTTTCCCAGTCACTTACTTAGTCAGACAATGTTGTAGTCTGCATTCTGTATGTGTACTTTGCACAACCACTCATCTTCTTGCAAGACTAATACTAAAAGACAACACTGATTATTTCACCAGACAACAGTGAATCACTACACTATAGGGACCTGCATTAATATTCGCGGTACGAGAAAAAGCCAGCAACCAATGTTTGTGAACGTACATTCAAAATTGCAGCGGTTCGATGAGACATCCATCCATCCATCCATCTATTTTCCGATCCGCTTATCCTCACAAGGGTCACGGGGGGTGCTGGAGCCTATCCGAGCCGTCTTCGGGCAGTAGGCGAGGGACACCCTGAACCGGCTGCCAGCCAATCGCAGGGCAAACATAATAACACTCATATGTTAAATAGTAACATATTTAGTAATATTTACAAATTAGGGGTTATGTTCAGCAACAGGTGGATTTTTGTGGCATAACTATAAATTGCACCGCACGGTAAACTCCATATTGAGCAAGCTTTAATTCGTCAAACCTAAAAAACACAAAATAAAAATATTTCAAAAACCTGATGCGCTAGAAATAAAAGGAAAGAGATTTTGAAACCAGCATCAAAAAATCTATTTAGGGACACATGAAGCCATCACTGATTGAAATTTGCTGTTGAGCAGCGTAATCTTCGTTCAATGTGTTGATTTATACAATGAACGAATTAAACTTGTTTCCTAAGGTTCCATTCTACTGTTTACTTATGATGTGTTTGTGTGTGCATGTGATGTGAGTTGATGCAGCTCCCAGCTGAGACATGACACCTCAACTCAGAGTGGTGACAGCATCACTTCATGTGAGTTCTGCGGTATGATGCTGGTGTAAGAACCACACATACATACGTAGATGAAAAACCAGCCGCACTCACAATCACATTATGTTCCATTAACCTGCCATACATGTTTTTGAAATTTGGGAGGAAACCGGAGTACCCGGAGAAAACCCAAGCAGGCACAGGGAGCACATGCAAACTCCACACAGGAAGGCCGGAGCCGGACTCGAACCCTGCACCTCTACACTGTGAGGCGGACATGCTGACCAGTTGAATACTGTGCCACATTTCTATAATATGTCATATATATTTTCTACTATCTTTGGAACTGGATGAAATTAAGAACGTTATTCTGAATGAAGCCGCTTATGCTCCAGTCATACACGGCAGACGTGTGGACTTTTCTTACAGTTGGAATAAATTAGTCGTGCTCTTTACAAATCCTTTTCATTTCAATATCATGGTGAAGTGCTTTCTTCCGTTATCCCCTCCCCACTGACGCGAGAAGCTCTTCACTGTCACTCAGTGTTGTTTCACACCAGCCAGGTTTGATTTGACACAATCCCACTAGTCGAGCAGAGATTGTTCCGCACCTTTTTAACATCTTTCAGAAAATGTTCGAACTTTATTCTGTATGCTTGCCAGATCTAATGGGATCCAATAAGAGCTCAGAGTTTTGATTGACAGTCAGAAAAGTATTACTCTTAGTCCCCCCGCCCCCCCTCACAAATTGATATAGTCAATTAAAACTTTTTTTCCCCATAACTAGAATCGTACTCCTTTGCTGATTGGCTGGATTATAGCACATTTTTCTACTGGCCAATTTTGAGACACATTATGTTCTTGTTAGACTCTACCACACATTATTGTTGGATTTTACGAGACCACGTGTTCTCATTAGATTTGTTGCCTAGCTTTTTGAGGTCAGTTGGTCATTCTAAGCAGCCACAAGAGGGCAGAGTGCAACTCAAAACAGCTTCGTGTCACAGGGCCCAATCATTTCCAACAGTGTTAGGCCCTGGGCCAGAATGATGCATCTTACATTGCCTTTCGTGTAATTTCCAACATATATCGTGTTGAAGAGTCGCAAAATCATTAAAAAAGCAACACTGTACTCTTCCAGAAAGTAAACACAACTTGGAAAAATGTTTTATTGCACTAATCCTCGGTTCAATTCAAACTCGGTTTGTCACAGGTGCGAGTGGTGTCATGCATGCTTGTATTGTTATCGTTGTTTTGTGTACAACACTGTGTTACAGCTTTGACTGTTGTGAAAGCGCCATATAAGTTATATCAAAAGTTGGGTGGGGGAGTTCATCTCCATATGTTTTTGCATACGATGAAAGTGCTTTTGTTTGTTCGTTTGTTTTTATGGGTCACAATACTGAGGTACCTGTGAAAGCTTTTTTTTTTTTTTTTTTTTAAACAACTAGGAAAATTTGAGTTTTCATGTTTCTACATACAGTATTTGATGAAAATTAATCACCTTCAAAAGTGTTTTTTTAAATATATATTTTAGAGAAGTACAAGAAATGTGTGAGTTGGGTCTTAAACGTAGATCGCCAAAACATGCATCGATTTTCCAATCCGCTCTATCCTCACAAGAATCGCAGGAGGTGCTGGAGCCTGTCCCAGCTGTCTTCAGGCAGTAGGCGGTGGACACCCTGAACCGGTTGCCAGCCAATTGCAGGGCACACAGAGATGAACCACCATTCACGCTCACACTCACATCTAGGAACAATTTAGACTAGAGTGTTCAATCAGCCTGCCATGCATGTATTTGTAATGTGGGAAGAAACCGGAGTACCCGGAGAAAACCCGCACAGGCCCAGAGAGAACATGCAAACCCCACACAGGAAGGCCGGAGCCGGGGTTGAACCCGGTTCCTCTGCAGTGTGAGGTCGATGCGCTAACCACTGGCCTGGCCCACGGGCCGCCCTGGCCAAAACATGCCTAACTCAAATTAAACTACACTAATAAACTAACCACCAGCGGGTAATAGAACTGCACAAATGGAAAATCACTTGGCCTATTTAACAGATGTGCTTTCAATTTCATTACATGACGACGATATCGTAGCAATTTTCATATTGCGATATTGCCATTATCATTATAGCCTTAACACTAATAATGGGAAAAGTTTTGAAATGATTTTTGTGGTCTCTTGCTCAGCGGTGCGTAGACTTTTTATATCCACTGTATAGTAGGAGTAGAAACGCCAACGCCTGTTTAAATTCGTCATCCGTGTCATCCCATGTGCTATAAAACATAAAAGCCATTGCTTTCAAGCACACACACACACACACACACACACACACACACACACACACACACACACACACACACACACACGCACACACACACGCGGGCGCACACACACTCCGAAACACGCCGTACAGGAGGCAGGCTTCTTGTCACTGTTGCCTGGCAACCGCGGGAACCACAGAGTCTCATCCTAATGGTGGCGAACTGATGTTGAATTAGGTGGCGTGGGGGGAAAACGCGGGCAATCTTAGGAAAATGAGGAGGAGGAGATTTGTGGAGATCTTCTCCTTATCTCCAGATGTAGACGCTCTTCGTCTTGTTATGTTAACATACACTCACAGTTTACAGTGGTTAAAAATATGCTTCTTCTTCGACATCTTCACCTAATACGCTGACTATTCATTATTTAGCAAGGCAGTGTGAGTATAAATAATCACACTTATAGTAAATCCCTTCTTTTGCAAATTCATGTATAACCTGGACATAAGTAAGCAATATACAATCACTGTACTATAAAAAGTGGTATAATTTGCATGATTAAAAGCATGCATGTACAGTGTGAACTTTTGAGAACTACGTGTGTGTGCGCGTGCGTGCGTGTGTGTGCGTACGTGTGCGTGTATTTGTGTGCGTGTGTGTGTGTGCGTGTGTGTGTGTGTGTGTGTGTGTGTGTGTGTGCGTAAACCTTGCAATTCTCGCAAGCAACTGCAGCGGTGCTGCTGCTGCACTATGTGCTCCTCTGTTGGTGATTTGCATGTAAACGCCAGTCTGTACTGTACATAAGCAAAAATACTTTTCACAATGGAACGCTATGCTGAGCTTGCTTAGTTCACTTATATACTGTACTGTGTATGTCCGTGATGAGAAACTGCAGTTTGGAGATTTATGGGATGTGACGAGGACAAGAAAGAAACCGATCTTTGCTGTCATGAAAGCACAAATTACTTTGCAGACAAAATTGGTCGGCGGTAGAATAAAAACAGGAGAGAGATCTTTGCGATGTGATAAGGACATGAGAGAAATTGTGTTCAGGTGATGAGATGAAATGAGAAAAATGGCTGGATGATCTGGGCATGACAACATTTTTTGTGATGCCATAAAACGAGAATACATGAAAACGTCTTGATGTGATGGTGTAATGAAAACAGAAACATGAGGTGAGGAGGAGAAAAGAAATACATACAATGTATTAACGATGTACTGTACTGAAGTCACAGTCAACCCCAACATGTGTACGAGTTCATTTCAACCTGTGCACAAAAACAACCGCCAGAGGGGGTCGCTCAAGACCAACCAGCACTTAAAGAAACAATTCATTGATAATTACGAGTAATGGTGAGGACAATTTAAGTCTAATCTTGTCAAGAATGTGACATTGCAACTTTATTCGCGACTAAAACAGAAACTTTTTAATAGGCTTTGTGCTCCGTCACCATATTCCACCCCCATTGCGGCTGAGAGTGGTACGATCCGACGAGCAAGAAGCCACAGCCTCCCCTGCGTCGCTTTACGGCAGATGCAGTCGAGCTTGAACCGCGGCGACTTGTCGAGGAGGTCCGACCGGCCGTAGCGACTACGGGGATGCCGCGGGGAAACACGAACACAGGAAAGGAAGGCTCCCGACCTCCACGCCCACGCTAGCAATCACAGCTCTGCGTGGGAGGGAAATCAAGGCCGTATTTTACCACTCCCGCCCCTTTCTTCACTATACTGACGTTCTCGGAGAAGCTGTCAGTGGGGTCTCGACTGTGCAGCCGCGGCCGCCTGACAGGTGCCGTCGCCCGGCTCAGCGTGAGGAGATGCCGCCCGTCCAGAGAACCATGTCGGATCTTCGAACGCGGGCGGACGGTATGTAGAATTCATAGAAACACAATGTATTTTGATATGCAAATACTAGTCCGCATTTTGTGCTTATTTCCTGGTGAGGGCAAAAGTAATCACATAAGACGAGAATGAGCTCACCAAGTCTCACGATAAAGTCCGTCTTTATATTTGATGTTAAACATTTAATTTCGGTTTATTACCACGCTTTCCATTGTACTCAGCACAAGAATAGCCACAATAGTATATGAGACACCGTCAGGGACGTAATTTAGGATTTCCTCTCACACATAGTCCTGGAAACATACTCACACACCCGAGTGCATTTTCCTTCCCTGCTCATACACACGACTGAAAATGTTTTTGCTCACAAATAAGCTCCTGAAAAGCACTTACTTTTTTCCCTCACATACACTATTCAATGCTGAAACACTCTCATACACTACTGAAACTGCTTTAACTTGCACTCGCTTCAAACTATAGAGAATGTTATTGCTCACACTCTGTATTCACGCTCTCACACACACTGAATTTTGTTTGCTAAGATGCACAACTCCAACGCTTATATAGCTCTCACACTATTCAACATATTCGACATGCTAGTTAACCACTCTTACTTACGGTACTTTTTTTTTTCCACAAAGATACATTTTCAGACACTTTCACAAAGTTAAAACACTGTCCCACACAGCTTTGAAAATATATTCACAAACGTTACTAAAACTGTTTTCAAACCCATACTACTCAAATACTTTCACATACAACCTCACCCTAACTACAGAGAATGTTGTCACCCACACACACACTGAGGCTCTCACATTCTTCTGAATTATTTTTTGTTAACATACGCAAATCAAACACTCTCACACTCAACTAAAATGCTGCCAGACACCACGAAAACGCTCTTGCATCATTACTGAAAATGTTTTCACTCACACACTTAACTGCTGAAACATTTTCACTAGCAACTGAAATGCTCACACAAACAACTAAAATGTCCTCTCACACTTTACTGAACAGTTTTTCACTCAAACTCACAGCCTACGGATTGTTTTTCTTGCTCACACACATTACTAAAATGCTCTAACACACACTACTGAAATAATTAAACTATGTCTCCCTGATGACACCCCTCAAATTAGTGACTGTGTGTGTGTGTGTGTGTGTGTGTGTGTGTGTGTGTGTGTGTGTGTGTGTGTGTGTGTGTGTGTGTGTGTGTCTCGTGATGCCACTTGAAGTGAACCAAATGTAGCATGCACCTGACCTGGTTCTTGCCCATGCAAAGTGGGAAAGCCCAGCACTGGCTCTCGGGCCCACACAGCCCAGACAACATCACTACCTCAAGCCTGACAGCACATTAACAAGTGTCTGCTCACACACACACACACACACACACACACACACACACACACACACACACACATTAGTACACACTATACACACCACACATTGACATATACAACACATACAACATAGCCATTGTGCTTCTCTCTGGGACCCTTCGCTGCACCAGTAACTTTCCACTGCAGGGTGAAAATGATGCAGATGCTCAAAAAGAGGATCCATGAACTAATTGCAGACATTTATATGCGTGTGACCAAAATGGCTACTGTAGTTTGTTGTGCATATTGAAGCCGTGCATGTTTGTGAATGTTTTATGAAATGCTTCATCTCTATTTTGTTTACCTCCTCTGATCCCTGATGTTACTGGACAGGAGCAATAACTTACAGCATCTCCGGGGAACAATAATAGAAAGTCATATGGTGCATACTAATTATATAATGTGTGTGTTTCTCTCTGTATGTGGAACGGCATTTGCGATAACCGCAGTCTCAGGCAAATATTGCAGCCATTAGTCAATTTTGGTCATTTACGGTAGGGGTCCCCAACCTTTTTTGCTCCACGGACCGGTTTATGTCAGACAATATTTTCAGGGACCGGCATTTAAGGTGTGGCGGAAATAATACAACAAAATAATATGGCATGAGCTGCATGAAAACTGTGGTGTTTTCCAAATATAATAATAAACACAAGGAGCGTCTAATCTGGCCGCAACACTCTGATCGCAATGGTAATATTTAATGCCTTCAAAATACGATACAACGCAAATTCAAAGTGCATGAAAATGACGACTCACCACAGCACCGAGCTTGATTTTCTGCAACCAGACGGTCCCATCTCGGGGTAATAGGAGACAATGACACCTCAAGTGTGTGGTTTATATCCAGTTTACTTCGTAATTTTGTTTTAGTCGCCGTTGCTGCAGAAAACCCGCGCCTCACACAGGTAGGATGTCGGAAATAGCAACAGTGCTATTGTGGTGATCTCAGAGTATTCAGCCAAAACTTTAATCCAGTTGTCTCGAACGTACTTTTAAGGCCGCCGTCATTTGCGATCTCCAGCAGTTTTTTTTACTCATTTTGCGAGCTCCGGCGTTTTGTTTTTAGCGTAATCGGTCACGTGACGGAGAAGCGTGGCTTGACGTGTGTCAAGCGTGACACAGACGGATGTAACGGAGAATCCGGTAATTTTTCAAAATAAAACATCTTTCGTATTCTGAAATAAATAAAACGGAATTCAGGCAAGTTCTTTCTGTGCGGCCCGGTACCAAATGCCCTGCGGACCGGTACCAGTCTGCGGACCGGTGTTTGGGGTCCCCTGATTTACGGCATCCTCGAAGGACCACTCTAAATTTGTTTGGTGCTGGAATTTTAAAGCTAGCCTGATCAAATGCCCAAGACTGTCCACTGGCCACCCCTGCTTTTGAGACAGACTTGTCTACTGGGGAACCCCTAATGTATAGAATTTCACGATATTTATGTGCCGGGCTTTGAATTGCGAAAATCTGCTGACAGTTGACGGCCCTTGGAATGCATTGAGGCAGGTGGAATGATATAACTCCATCTGAAAAACTCTGATAAACGGGTGAAAATGTGTACCTGCATCTCACATGCACATTTTTTTTGAACGGCGCAAAATAAATTTTTGTCTGATTAATCAATGTAAAAATCAGTAGAATAATTGATTTAAAAAATGTTTTTCTAGTGGCAGCACTACTTGTTAGCAGAGTTTCAGCAGATTTGTTTATTTATTTTAATGTTTTAATTTCAGTACGCCTGTATGGTATAATTATCTCTCATATTTCGTAATACTATATAATTTAACATTTCTATTTACATTCGGGAAATGTCTACTGGAGCACGAATAAATATGAGCGAGTTGTGTTTCACAGTCTCCACAGGCTAATTATGTACCTTGTGCCATCTACAAGAAGCTATAAGAACATTACATTGTTCTGCTTATCACTGTAATTTAGTGTATTATTTGTAAATAAATAATCATGTAATTTTCTGACCACTGAACTAAAATTAGATAATTTCCCACAGAGCATTAATGGCCCACGGCGCACTGGTTAGGAATCACCACATTATAGTTTCAGCTGTAATGTATTTTGTATGTAATATTGTTGTAGTTTGCAGTGGTCTAGAAGTGCACTGCAGCATACTGAGAGCATGATTACTTATTACATTTTACTATTACAATGCCCCATCTATGTAACTAAATAAGTTGGAAAAATGTTACAAAAGTAGAATGGCTGCGGGTGTGATTGTATTATAGCAATAGATTTGTACCAAATGTGGCTGTGTGGTGAGTGTACGTCTTTGCATCTCTCTGCAAACACGCACACAACTGCTAATGTGCCACTAGCTTTTTAAATGCCACCTTTGAGCTGGCAATTACAAGGCAATTTGTCATCCTTTTCAGCACCACAACTGAGAACTTTGTGTTATTGTTACCGGAGACCTGCGCATTCTACTGCAACAAAGCTAAATAATTCAACACTAATATGGAGTCCATAGAAAATTGATGCCTCTGCTGCAGTTGCAGGAGTGAAAAGTCTGGAATAAACCAGCAACTATAGACTAATTGAGAAACCTTTTTTTTTTCTTCATTTTCAGCACACCCGCCACCTAACAGTTTTCTTATTTTTTTAATCAAATAGCACACGAGGCAAGCCTCCATCAAGAGAAAGGCCAGCCCTCTCTGCCAGACTTAGCTCTTAATCCGCCAGCCGCATGCCCATCAGTGCACACTGCCGAGCCTTGCCCACCACGTGCCACCTCACCCCTCACTGCCCCTGTCTGTCTGCGCCCTTATGTTGTTGCCAAAATAAACGTACCGAGGTGACATTCATTGACTGACAGTACACACTACTGGCAAAAAACAATCAATCAAACAAACAAACATTGATGTAAAGTATGATGGCAATGTTCTCTGATTATAACACATTCCAAAAGTGTCCTCCACAATCCCATTTGAAAGCGCCACAACTATTAATTGAAATGTTGTGAGCAGATGATTAAAGATAAAGTTACAATTTTGCAGATTAGGATGCACCCATCCAGTTATGTTCTATACCACGTTTGTCCAGCCAGTTGATTTCGATTACTGGTAGACTGGGCACTGATTTGACCGAGCGAGGTGTCGGGGGATTTCAAAAAAAAAAAAAAAAGTAATTTTTTTTTTCAGTGTGTGAGTGCGTTTGTGTGTGCGTGTGTGTGTGTGTGTGTGTCTTCTTTTTTTAATGTATTTTGTGTTGGTGTACACTACGGCCTACGCATCCTATCAGTCTCAGCTCCACATTTTTTTTTTTTTGTACATGACCTGCTTGACAGAAAGTTAACAGCAGTCAACAGTAGCTTGCATCTAGTGATCAGAGCCTTGAAGATATTTTTTGGGCTTATTCTCTTTCAAAGCCCATTTGTTTAATTGGCAATACAATAATGGCATTGGCAAATAAAGGGAATCTGGAGCAGCATTTTAAAATGGCACACCGGAGGCTGGTATAAGGATGTTCCTCACAAAATAGGCTTTACACACTACAAAAGTGTGTCCCTTCCTCCGCCTGCCAATGTCCGGTCTTCCACGAAGGTAGGCAGCGAATTTCTTTCTTCAAATTTAAAGATCAACCTGCTTTGTATCTGGTGTATTTTTCTGTCTTGTTCAATGTGAGGTTAGAGTCAGT